AGAAAATATACATGTGTATATATATATACACACATACATATATATTTTTATTTTATATATAATATATTCTTCCTACCAAACTGATAAACTCAGCTTTTGACATGAAAGAACAACTAGATGTGACAGATTTTTGTACCATTAGAAGTTAGTCTTAGCAATGAGTACTATTTTATTACATTCTAGGGTCATACACATCCCATTACTAAAAAATGGCACCTACAGAAGAAATATATATAATAATATAAACAGGAAATATTGATGAGATTAGGCACTATCTGCAAATTTGCAATTGTCTGTATCTGTTAAAAACTGGAGCATGCAAGTCAACAACCAGGAATGATAGAGATTATACTAATGAGCAGAGGTTAATTGCAGCGTCAGAGAGGCTTAGTAGAATGCAGTCACATATTGCATATTTGAATGCGTAACACTGTGAATTAAGAGTTTGCAAACTAAGTGCACACACACAATGTTAACACTGCCTTCATTGTGATATATGCAACAGCCCTCTGCAAGCTCCTATTAAATTCACTAAGCACCCAAATTTGCTTTTGTCATTCTCACTGCTTCTGCACTGATTAAAGAACATCTCAAATGTGATGTTGAGAACTGATCCCTCTTGCAAAGTCCCTCTCATCATGGAGATGGTGTGACTCTATGAGAAAGAATAAGGAGGGAAAGAGGGATGTAGAAAAGATAAATGACAGGAAAGAAACACAATCCCTTCATCTCATCATTTGTGCTTATTACATATGGTCAGATTGAGAAAATAAGAGCTTTATCTTCATCACAAGTCTATGTGAGATACTACTTGGACTGAGAAGCAAAGACACCCTTTCTTGCTCAATGCTTGGTCTTCACAGGACTGCAGGAAGGGCAAATTCTACCAAGACAACAAAGTAGAGCCTCCCAGTTTGTTTTTTTTTTGTACACATCTGTGGAGCTGTAAAGCTCAGCACACACCGTTGTCTTTCCTCAGTTTCACTTCCAGCCCTCTCAGATCAACAGAATTTGATAAAGTTTGAGCAAATGTTGTGTCGTTCACAACTGAGCTGCTGAATGACAGAAACACAAAAAGCAGGGATGCAAGGAGTTCCTGGCTCATTTCTTTCTTTCCTCATTTCAGTTTCAGAATTGAGAATTTAATAAAAATAATTCAGTACACCGCCATCACATAAACACAAGACAGAAAGAGAGGAAGGAGAAAGGAGCCTAAGTGAACATCAAGCCTCACACAAACTAGGCATAATGAAGAAAAACAGCAGCCCATTTTTCTTCCCTTTAGTATGCAGTGAATGTGCAGTTCCTGCAAGCGTGCATGGCTTGTGCTTCCTATTAACAAGGTGCACATTAATAAATTTAACTCAGACAAATTTAACCATCCAAGGACCACATTAATCAAAAGCCTGACAAGACCAAACTGAAAGAGCTGAGTGAGGAAAACAAAGCACAGCTGACATGGAAGATTCCATGCCTTCATCATCCCTGCGCTGCTCCCACTGTATCAGCTTCCCCAGTACTGCAATAATTCCTTCCCACTGCACTCCTACTGGGAGTATCATGCTCTCCTCCCAGCACTCTTCACCCAATGTCTCTTCATCAGTGATGTTTCCCACTCCTCGTGCATCTGCACTGCAGGAGCATTTCAATCAAAGTACAATCATGTGCAACAGCTGAAACCCTAAGAGTTTTGTATTTTACCTGAGCCACTGGTATTACTGAAAAGAATATCTCCAGATGTACATGTACACTCCATGTACAAAACAGAAATAATAAATGTGATAGAAAAGTAAAATGGCTATAGCTCCTGAGAACTACAAATTAGACAGACTATAGAAAAAGTAGGAAAGAAAAAGGGCCATTAATTTTTATTCAGTACCTATGTGCAAGTCCACGAGTGCTACAGAATCACTCTAAAGCTGAAATGTATACACGTGGATACTCTTCAAAAGAATGAGAGTTACTACTGGGAAAGTCTCCCCTCTTTGGCTCCCTCATAGTTACTGCTTCTGAGTTATGTTTTTAGCCTGCAAAATATTGACAAACAGACCCCTCCACCAGCCACCCCACTTCACACAAGATGAGGAAACTAAGAAGCAACTGTTGATCACAGCCACAGAAAGCAGCAGCACAAATTAGACTAAATGCGTCTCCAAAAGCCATAATTATCCAAGCTCAAACAAAATAAGCATATACGTGGTTATTCACATTTGCCTGGAGGCATCCTCACAGCACAAAACACATGGTGTGCTTGCTCTTCTTCCACTTGATAAAACAACAAATATTTTCATCACCTAAGAGTATTGATGGTTACATTTGTAGTCTTGACATGAGAAAACATGAGAAAAACTCTGTTGCCTTGCCTTGACACTGTCTCTCCCTACCCAATTTCTCTTTTAGCTCAGGCAGTTGGGTTTTGTATGTATTCTGGCTTGATTGATTTCAATTGTTTCATGGATAGATTTAAGAAGTCAATATTACTGCTTAGCAAAGCTTCAGTAGAAGAATTTATTGGCACACCATACCAATTTTGGATTTTGGTCAGAACTAAGAGTTTCAAATGGATTCCTGTAAGATCACAAAACAAGAGATATTCATATCTTGAAAATAAAGAGGATTTGAGACACATAACTAAGATTTGAACCCAGATATTACAACAATCCAAAGCATTTGAAATAAATACCTGTTTGAAATGTTCACAGACTGATGAACCTTTCAGCAAATCTGTGCTTAATGCGTAGCCCAAGCACACAGCACACTGGGAGGTGTGGAAAAAACCTTGCCACAGACAGGTTAATGACCTTTGAAAGCCTGTCAGACTCGACTTCAGTGCTGCAAGATGCATTCTCAGAGGACAGAGTGCTTCAGAAAAAGGCAATGCCTTCTAATACTGTCACTTTTACTTCATGGTACTCCCTAAAAGCAGCACGCCTCTTGGGTTATGATTGCTCTGGTCAGCACTGTTTTCATTTCCTCATGATCCTCATTTCTGAGTATCTGTGCTTCTCAGTTGTCTCAAGTACAGCTGTAAGCTCTGCATACACAGAGGTCATCTATTCTGTGCTGTAGCACATCTGGCACAAGGTTTCAGTTCACTGCTGTCTCTAAGGACTGTAGATGACACAGTTTAGCACATGATCACCATATGCAATTACAGTTCCTTCTTGTGACAGGAACCAAAGGTAAAAACATCCCTAACTACTCCTGCTTGACTTCCATTGATATAAGTCTATGATTTTCTTCTTCTTTGTCCTGATCACTGTGCCTGCATGTCTGCAGACTGCAGCATGTTGCTGGGTCAGTCAGCAAGATCGGCACTTTTTGTATGGGACAACAGATGGATATTTTGAAATTGAAAAGCAAGCCTCTGCAGAAAGTCCTTTCAAAGCCAAACGTGCTTAATCCAAAGTTTAGCACACTCACTTATCATGTGACTGACCCACATCAAGTTCTTGCTTTGTTCAATCAAACCATTAGCTCACCTTTTATTTTGTACCCTTGTTGGAAACATATATTAACTGAGGCAGAAAACCTTGTTCACTGCATATCTCATCTGGGTGATTCCAATCTGCAATTCCAATTTCAGTTGCCCTACTAAGACCGTGTGCCAAGAGGTTTGAAAATTGTTGTACATATCTAACATCTGAACAGGTGACCACCTGCAGAGTGCCAAAGATTTTCCATAACCAGTTTCCCCCACCACAACTCCCACCCACTGGTTTTCTGTTCTGTATTATTATCTATTACAGAACAAAAGTTCTTAAGGGCAGGAATTCTCTCTTCATGGCAGGTGCTGTTCATGCCTGACACAGCCTCCAGTTGCCTCTCTGACACTGCCTCCAGTTGCCACCATTAAGGCTGTCTGCAGGCAAGCACCTGATGAACTCCCATGTAGGCTCTGGTTGGCAATTTTTTTCAAGTTTGCTTTAAAATTTCAGCCTCAAAAAGCACATTTATGCTCAGAAACTTGCTAATTCTAGAGTAAATGCACTGGTACAGGTTGCTGAAAGAGGTTGCTGAGTCAGTCTCCTCAATGGAGGTGTTCAAGACTCATCTGGACATCTACCTGTCTGATCTATTGTAGAGAACCTGCTTTAGCAGTGGGGTTGGACTTAGTCTCTAGAGATGCCTTCCAACCCCTGCAACTCTGTGATTCTGTGATTATTATAATGAGATCTGAGCTCAGATGATGATGTTAATGTCAGCATAACAGCTGTCACTCTAACCCCGAATCAGGAAAGACAGCAATAACTTCCCCAACTCCAACATTTGATGTTCCTTTTAGTTTATGTACTTGGCATGGACATTATGAGATGTTCAACTCAATTATCACCACATACTTCTGAAAGGAGAATTCCATCATAGAATATATCACAGAATCTCTTTGGAAACAGCTAGCCAAATATCTGAGTGAGATAACATTAAATATTTGCATATCAAGCCATAAGATCCTAAAGCAATGTAGATCTAAATCTAGAAGTTCTCCACTTATGTTACAGTTATTTGTAAGAGCAGAGGAAAGAACTCTTTGTGCCTTATTTCAGACTCAGGGGGGGAAAAAAAAAGGTTGCTCTCTTAATTCAACCTACATGAGGGTTGTCTGGGTAGACTGACATTTCAACTTGAAAGTCAAAATGTGATGCTAACCAGAATCTTCTTGTCATTTGCTTTTGTTTACACAAACTAAAGCAGCATCACTTGTCAAAGCCATTGCAGGTCTAAATTTTTTACTTTCACAGTTAGAAATAATCATCTTTAGACTTGGCGTGGCAGAAATGATAATCACCAGTAGATAGCATACCTTCAGTCAGAACTAGGGCAAAATGCAGGGCGCTATATTACATCCAGATGGAGCTTCTGGGCATGCTGGAATTTGAACAGTCCATTTCAATTATTGTACATACCTGGGAGTGATCTCGTACTTTTTTGGCAAAGAAAGGCAAGAAAAATCAAGTTACTAGCATTTTTTTTTTTTTTCAATACTTCATTTGTCTACTTACAGAATTGTTCCAAGTCATCACTTGTTTTAGATTCTGGCATAGCAGTGATTGTGAGCAATGGGCATGTATTTCCTCCTAGTGTCTGGCAAAGCGCTTGTTGCCTCCAGTAGACCTTCTTGGGGTTCCTGCTTTGTTCCAGGACATCAAGATGGGACTGAGAAAGAAGAAAATAAGCAGATTCATCAATGAGCTCACTGTCGATAAAATCTCATTTTATTCCACTATCTGTATGTCATTATTGGCACTCATTTTATCTCTTGCTAACTTACCAGCTCCTCCCTCCTTCCTATAATCTCTTTGTACATGCCATCAATATCCATGAGCCATTCAGAATGCATCCTCGTTCACCAAGACTGCACATGATATTATTATCTATGTCATTTTACCAGCACAGCTCCTAGGTACCTTTATCACTGCAAAGGAATTTCTATGCATGCATGAAGTCCAGAAGAAAATCACATATTCTTTATGTATAGGCACCATGTAGTGTGTGTGAAAAGTTGTCCTTTTTAGCATTCATAGAACTGGCTGCTTAGCTGTCAAGCATGTATTGTTGAGACTCAAGAACAAGTCCAGATTAGAGGCAATCAAAAAGTTTACATGAAAACATTTTGTATCATCATTAATGGATAACATGAGCAAGTGCATCTTTCTAAGAAAGCACTTAAAAATAAGAGGTTTTATTTTTTTCCCCCCACCAGATTTCATGGTTGCCAGTTTTAAATCATTCTTAACATACAACAGCTTCTTGAGAAATTTGAGAAAATGAATAGTCAAACTAAAAACAAGATCTTTTTGGAACTATTTCTGGTCGCCTCATCAGACACACAGCCCTTCACCACCCACACAGCAGATGACGTGCAGATCTCAGTGGCTCTCTGTCTTCACACTGTAAGTGAAAGTAGCAATGATACTTCAAGTAACCCCACTGCGGGGTGCTGCTAACTGCTGTGGAATACAAGTTGACCAGCTGTCTCTAGACAGGTAGAAATAGACATATTGCAGTATGCATGATGCTAGCAGAACCTTAACTACAGTGCATGAGGACACAGAGCAACCTTTACATTCCAAGCATTTGTGCTAATGAGTCAGGGCTAAATCTTAGCCAACGTTTAAGGGACAAGACATTTATGTTCCTAAAACCTCAAACTTCATCTTTCAAACTGCTTTCTCAGTGACCACTTGAATGTAAACACAGAGCTGAAATTTACAGTCATCTATGCTGCAAAACAATTAACATACTGCTCTATAAAGTAAATTCAATTATTAGACCCATTTAAAGAGCTTACATAGATACAGATAACTCAATATCATGATTTACTTATGTTTCTAATCCCAGTGAAACTTAATTGGGTACAGTAGCCACAGAGATTTCAGCCAGATATCTAAACAATTAACACTATAATATAAAAACAGATAAATTACTGTTCATAAAATAAATATAATTACTAATGGACAAAAAGTAATGAACTGCAGAGTGCACCCAGATCAAATAGGATTCCACAGCATAGTAAATATGCCTGTAACTATTAAATATATATGATATTTTAAAACATTTCCAAATGACTAACTCCAAAAACGAGTTTATCTTCTTCCCCAAAGCACCATATATTTAATTGAGCCCTTGGGTTCCTAATCACTTTTAATTTATTACTGATATGTAAAATCAACATATTCCAGCAGTGGTCAAATGCTTTAAACTAAAATCTGCTGGTGCACAGACCTGATTTTAGTTTATTCACTGCGGAAATTGAAGTAACATGGAAATGTGTAAACTGCATCACTCAGGACATTCTAAACCATTCCAAGCAAACAAGCCTTTTAGAATTATTAGATGCAATAATTTTGCTTTGGCTAAATAGCTGGACAGAATAATCTATTGATCTTTTCCATCCATAATTCTCATTTACCAATTTTTATGGTCCTAACTGAGCCTGAGTTTATTTGAACTTTTCCAGAGGCAAAATTTCCTTCAACTTCAATGAGCATTTTATTTGAAGAGGTGGTGAAATACTTCAAGACTTGGCCCTGCAAGTCCAGGAATAATCTCTTTTTCATCTCTATTCTATTCATTCAGGAGTAGGTGAGATATTCAGTGATTCCCAGAGCATAGAAACTCTCCAAGACTCTCCTGCTTTTTTGCCAGCGGAAGGTAGAAATCAATAACAGTAAAATGATGATGAGGCATCGCATCTCCATAATAAAGTATGGTGACTTACTTCTTCAGTATTACATTTGTCTTCTCCCCAGCAGTATATATGTGCCTTTAAGGTCAAAACCCACTCCTGGGACAGAGCCTTTTCCTCACTGATGCAGAGGAATAGTTGGTAGCCATAAGCCTGATGAGAAGAGTGCTGGTAGGCACAGTTTGGACCGTGAAGGGCTGAGTGGCTTTCTCCCAGATACTGACAAGCAGTTTCTTTAAACATCCCTAATGGGATGCAAAGCACTTGACAAGAAGCTGGTTTTCAAGAGGGAATTAATCTAATTAAACCATGCTGGCAGCATACAGAGCTGCAAGGCTACGAAGTGAGAGAGCACTTTGTACTCTGTCTCCCTCAAAAATCTGTGTATACTTTCATATCTAATAATGGCAAATTAATATCCATGTAAAAATTAGAATAAGCTTTTTTTTTTTTTTTTTTTAACCAAACCACACTGGTTTGGTTTAAGAAATAAAAAGGCTAGCAGGAGAAATTTTTATATATAAAAATATATAAAAATATATAAAAATATATAAAAATCTATAAAAATCTATAAAAATCTATAAAAATATATAAATACAGATATATACACACATATAAATACATAAATATATAAATATATATATATATATATATATTTTTTTTTTTTTTGCTAGAGAGCAGAAATGGTGGGTAAAAGATTGACCTACAGGATCATTCTTCATTTGCGGTAATACCTTTTCCACCCTCAGCACTGAAGCAAAGCAAATCCCAGAACCCCTCATTTCCCTTCTTTTATTCTACTTTCCACTGATATCTTTGGTTCTCCCACATTAATCTGAGAAAATATACTGGATGTGTTTACCAGAAAACTCCCTTAACATCCACTTTTGACCAGAAAAGACTATAGGAAATAAATCTTTCCCCAGAAAGTAAACAAACACCTCCTACTATTCCAATTGGAACAGATGAAACAGCTGGCAAGGAGGATTTGAATGAAACCCAGCACTGTGGTATCACTCTGCTTCTGGGTGCAGCGCTGAAAGCCGAGCTGCTGTCTTCTGTCAGAAGCAGCAGTGAGCAGCCTTCACTTTTGATTTGTCATTACCCTTAGAATCCTCCTCCTCCTATCAGGGGGATACCACATCTCCAAGCAAACGGAAGCATCTTTGGTTTGCACTGTCTTACAACTGTAATGTTTGCACTCCTGCTTATTCCATAGTAAAGTCATTTTTCCCCACAACATTCTGGGCTCTGAAGCTAACAAAGCCTGCAGCTTCAAATAAGACAATGACAGCATCATGATAATTAAAAAACTGCTTGTGGGAGCAGACCTCTATGCTATCACAACATTTCCTCATCCTCAAGCAGCTCCAATCTGTCAGGCCTGCTGTCTTATCTAGATGGACATATCAGCATTACCATCATTGCAGAGTAGGTGTAGGGGTAATGGTAGGCCAGATAGCAGACATCATCTTCGTGAGGGAACTTGATGCTGAAGGTGAGAGTGTAATAGCATTTTCCTCTTGAGCCTCCTCCTGGAGCTGCACTGCAGCGGTAGTGGTTTCTGAAGGAAGAGAAAAAGGGAGAAGTAGAGAGTTATCACTTCCAGACTCAACCCACTGTTGTGCAAAGCCAGGGAAGGCCACATGCAAATACGATCAATCCAATCCCAGTAACAAGAAGGGCAAAAAATAGAACAGTGCTAAACAACATTCTGTAGTATAACAATGCATCTATCAGCTGTACGAAAAGTAGGAAGGTCTGATAAACTGTGGTCCTGCTAGACATAAAAATGTAAGAAACATCATGATTTTAAGCACCACTGAGCAAACCTAGTTTCAGGGCTCTGTTGGGATTCACTGTCCTCACAGGCAGGTAAGCAAGAGAACATTACAGAACAGCATGTAGCAGTGCTGAACACAGCCAGTCCCAGCTGCTCCAGGATGGGAACTCTCATAGGAGGTAAGAAGTTATTTCATTTTGTGAAGGTGAAAATAAAAAAACAACTAATGCTAGTTCACATAGTGCAGTCTAGATATTTAAACTAACATATTCAGCTAACATTGCTGTATTGCTTCCAAGATTCAAGATAAAACTTCTTATTGACATGCCTGAACAATTCTGTACGAAAATATTCTGTGAAAGCTTGAAGACTTCAAAAAGACAAATAACTCACCAGAATATGAAACCAGACATTCAGGAAGACAAAGGATATTCCAGGAAAAACACAGGCCATTTATAAAAACCTTTCAAATGTCATCAATGGCTCCCTCCTGAGTAGGAAGAGGAGGGAAATGGGTTTTTATGGAGACTGCCTACAGAGACTTGACTTCACGTATATTTGCAAGTTAAAAGCTAACCAAAAATCTTCTTTTGGAACTCCCCTCTTCAAATCCTTTTCAATTTCTCCCTGTAAGGGAACATGAGGGTCAATTTCTCCCTAGGAGACAAGGGACTGGGCTTGACATCAAAGCTAGGAGGTCATGAGCCTCACCAGCCAGGGTCCTCTCCCACGGTACCTGAGCAGGGCATGCCCAGGGATGGCAGGCATGTTCGACCATGATTCATGAGTTTGTGGTAATGAGTCCTCTCTACAGCATAGACAGGCAAGGACCAAGTGGCCAGGACAGAGTTTAATTAGGGCTACTCAATCCATGGGCAAAGGGTGTTGGGTGGAATACACAAAGGAGGTTGGTCAGGACCATCGAGGCCTATTAATGTGCTCAAGCCCTTGGAGATCCCTGCATTAAAACTGCAAAATTTTGAAAAGAGCTTCTAAATCTATTCCAAATGTAGTCTCCTGCAAGAGATGTACTCTGATAAAGAGATGACTTGAGACTGAGTAAGAAAGTTTTCTTTCAGCACAGATGAAGAAACAATTCATTCACTTTAGGGAGAAGCTTCACAGCAAATTGCATCCACAAGTACATTTCAAACAATATTTTTCCCACACAGCACCAATTACGCCGTTGTGGAACCTCCTGATTCTGAAGGACTGGGAGGTTTCTTTGACAAATGTTATCATCAACGTTGCATTAAAATGCAAAATAGAGAAGGCAACCAAAAGATGCAATTTCAGCTCCAGAAATTTACAATACTAGCTTATTTTGCTGCTGCTCATTCTTATTCAAAGGGGTGGAGAGAAAAGGTAATTATTCTTGTCAAACTCTCCAAAACAATCAGCTCTTTTTCATACAGAGGACACAATACAATGCTGTTGGGTTAGGGTTTTTTTGTGGATTTTTTTTTTTTTTTGGAATACCTGAATGTAATAGTTAGAAACATGTAAATGATACTGAGCGGATCAATAGACGGTACAGGAACACTGAGTCCCACAGGCAAACCAAAAACCTACAGTTTTATCCTCAGATGAACCCCTATTTTCCCTACATAGAAATATTTACCTAGCAATTTTTTTAAAGGTCAGGACAGTACCATTTGATCTAGATCTCATTAGTTTTAATGGTGAAGAATGATTAAGAACCATTCCTGTATTGTGGGGAAGGAAAGGACTCATCTCCCTAGCCTCTAGCTACAGTCAGCATTACTTGGAAGGCTAGATAACCTCATAAGATAATTTTCACAAAGTGCTGAGATCATCTGAGTTCTCCCATCCAAATTTGTATTTGTGCTCAAAGGCACTGGAGGAAGCAGGACTTTGCAGGAAGATACTGTCCATATGGTTTCCATACACATTTGTGAAGTCTGCCTGCCTGTCCCTCATGGGTAAAATCTAGTAAAATCTTATCCTTCTATCATCAGTAATTCTGCAGCCAAAAAGCCTCTCCTGTCTAAAATGGCCACCTAGCCCAGAAGCTCTGCACCACCAAACATCTCTGACCTTGACAGTACCCTAGCAGACTACACTTCTTTGCCACTGTAGTGCTCAGATCTGATGATCCTGAGAGTACAGATGCACAGCTCTCAAAGTGCTTTGCAGTCTATTTCATTCTTCTTTTGAGCCTCTCTGCAATTCCATAAAACTACCCAGATGCTTCTACACTTTGAATTTGTGAGGCTTCACTGTTCTTCACTCATATGCCAGAAAAACCACCTGCGCGTGCACAACGTAAACGGTCACGTATTCCTACAGCATATAATCTGTTCACCTCACAATCCATCATATGATGCAGTAACTCTGAAGGAAACTTTAAAAACAGCATTTCTCTTTCTTCCCTCCCTCTTTCTTGCAGCTGCTGACACTCTGAGATGGTTCTTCTGCTTCCTTGTTACCACACCAGGCTAATACTTTTTCTTCAACACTACCCTACCAGCAGGAAACCCAAATTAACAAGCAGGGAAGAGGCCATTATTCTGGGCTATTCTGGGCTTTGCTGGTGCTGCAGTGTTTGTTGCAACACTGGCATGAGATTTATTTGTCTCAGTAGGTGAGCATCGGTGTTATACTCCACTTACATGCCCTAACTTATCCTTGCCTACTTATATGAGAGCTGAGATCATCTTTCCTCATGCATTTCTACAGGACTGTGCATGATGAGGGCCCTATCCTGACCAGAATTCTACAGTATTACTGACAGTTATAACACAGTTTTCCTAATGAACTGAAACACCATTCAGCAAGATCTCATCTTTGGTCTGGAGAGTGCAAATGTGTTTTCACCTTTCATCTGTATGGCCTTCATGGAATTAAAAAACAACCATAGCAACATCTGTTCCTCACTACTTTATCTATGTTCTCTTTCCAAAAGTGCTCCTAAAGTCTCACGAGCTTTCTAGAAGATAATGCAATTGTTATTAGAAGGGAAATAAAGAGACCAAAGGATGCTTTCTTCCTTTTTAAAATCATCTTACAAGTTGTATCTACCATGCCTTTCAGTCACTTAATAATAATTAAATCATTTTGCTTGCTGCTCTCCTTCAGAAATAACATACAGGTAATATATTTTTAATACAGCTATGATGACAAGTTAATAACAATTATAATAATACTTATCACTTACACTGTGCAGTAATTTTTTGAGCTTAAACCTTTGCAAGCATTATCTAATTAAAACTTGCCTCCCATTTATCTGGGTAGTAGGTAAGTGACTAATTATCCGTGTCGTATAGACTAGGAAAGTGAAACATATACAGTGAAGCTCTTGGCCAAAGATAGACACAAGCTGGTAAAGGAGCTAGATTCTACCTCAGGAAATACAACAAGTCTTGCTCATCTTATCTTCTAACTTCCTGCCTGAAGAACTTAATATAGTCAAAAGTACTGGCAGGTGATGGAATACACAGCAGTGTATCAGCTTAGACTAAAACGGCAGAAGAAAATATCTGGCTTGGATTACTGGAGTGTTTGAAAAAAAGCCTAATTGGAAAATTAACTGTTTATCACCTGCATCCCTTTGTCCAAAGTCCATCTACCACTTGGAGCTTGTTATGCTCATTTTACAACGTGTCCTGATGTGGTACATGCACTGTGTTTTAGTAGCACTTTGGTTTATAACAAAGTAGTAGCATTTAACAATTTACAGCTCATACCTAAATTCAGCTGTTACTTTGGGGCCTGTCACACTAGAAATTGGAAAATACACCACTTCCCCTTCAAGGCATATCCAAGTTAAGGCACTTTTGTTCTCCTGGGTGTAGGCAGAATCCTATGTAGGCAGTAGAATGCTCCCATGAGCATCTTGCTACTAAGGCTTACACTCATGCTACGAACATCAGGCGCCAGCAGTGTCACAGCATCTCTCATGGATATCATCAGAACCAAGATGTAGCCTGCTAATGACGATGCCTTATAATGTGATTATAAAGATGCTGAAGAAAAAAAAAGACCTAGTTCTGACACTGCTATGGCCACCAAATAGCAAAGTCTTTAGTGGTGGTGTGAGAACAAAACACTCCATGTGCCTCATTATTATCTGTGGAGTAACTATTGTCTGGAAAAGCTAGGGGTTTTCTAATATGCCTAGAATGAGCCACGAAACCAAAAGGCACAAGCATGTTGTCACCAATTCAGCATGCTGCCATTGTTCCTCAAATAATTTGCTGGAAAGTAATATTATCCAGTGCATAAAAGCTGCCAAGACAGCAAGTGAGTTAGATGATCTTATAGTAACTGCAACTCTGTTTATCATGGGTGTATCCTGTCACATCTTGGAGAGGCAATAAAATAGAGCAGAAGCGTCACTCAGCCTCCTTTTGACAAGAACTCTGCTAATATTCTCTGCAAAATAAAAGCTCTCTTGTAAGACATATGGGAAAGGTACGCAGTGACAGAGGTGTGCCACAACATTCATCTTTTTTGAGTGAAGTATCCCATCTTCAGCAAAGATGAATGTCAGCAGAGATGAGCATCACTTGGATATTTCGTGAATATGCCTTTCCTCCCACTGTCCTTCAGCTCAGAGGTTGCCCTCAGTGAGAGCTGTGCAGCAGAAACAATTAAGGGCATTCCAAATTCATGAATTTGGTAGTTTTACCTGGTAAAAGTAAATAGATGAGGTCCCCTGCAAAATCTGCAAGTCCGTCCCCCAGGATATGTGACCAGAGTGAACAGAAATGAAATGAGATGCTCTCCCAGAAATACAAGCAGCGTGGTATCACTGCAGTGATCCCATCTTCTCCTATTCTGAAGCCATCATCTGAGCAACCACAGACGTACTTTGCCCATACTCCCTACCCTAGCACAGTTTCTCATTACTAGGAATCAACTTGATAATCAATGAAACAGAAGGGATTTGACGTTCAGCAGAGGTGAGAGTTCATGTGTATCTGTAAGAATTCTTGTGTACACAGAACATGTACAAACAGGGAATGAGACAGACAATGAGTAGTCATCCTAGATGAACATGTTGACATATACATATAATTCAATACAAAATTAGAAAACACCAAATCAATACAACTCCATTCTTTCATATTCTAAACAAGAATCAGATTACTTGATTAATTGTACAATCATGGTTTAATCTTGGAAGTCAGCTGCTGTTTAATCACTTCACAGTAACTATCTTGTTAATGACAGGATAAGCCATTGCTATATGGTAATTAGCACACGAAGCTTGCCCAGCTTGCATCTGCCGGGCTTGCTCATTTTATCTTGTATCCAGAAGCCCCTACTGGAAGAAACCAGAGGTTGCAGGCATGCAAAAGGAATCCATTGCACCACAGTATGCTAGCTCTCAAGAGAGCAGCTTCAGAAACAGAAAAGGTGATGTGCATAAAGGTTAGTTTAGGTTTTCCATTTAGGGAAGTTTCTCCCTTCTAGGGGAGAGAATTCTGCACGTGCCCTGTTCTCCTAAAAGCAGATTTCAATGTCTCACTTTTAGCTGTCTCCTGAAGTTGGGGGCACACAAAACACAGAACTAGCATCAATTTAGGGGCATTTAAAACACGGCACTGTGGTTGGAGGTTAACAACATCTATACAGCTAACAGGAGGAGAACTGAGGAGCTACAGACTGTTCACCACTACTTACTTGTAGTAGCTGATATCATGTCCTGCTCGAAGCCAGCGAGGCCTGCCCTGGAGAGCTTCCTTCACTGAATACAGAACCAGCTGCATGCCTGCAGAAAACAAGAGTTTCAAGTGACGCGACATCCCTGGCTGGAAAAGACAGAGATGGAGAGGAAAAGGGAAAACAAGAAGGATTATTATTTTCTCTGTGCTCTCTTGGCAGACAGTTAATGCAAAGTAAATATATTTCCACGCTTGGTTCTACTGTAATCATGTCAGTCCTGAAAAACACTGCCAGAAGAGAGCTGAATTAGGGTTTGTTAGAAAATAAATAATCCTGCTGGCCTTTGGAAAGGAAAACTTCAGCTGTCCTGTTTACAAACACATAGAGGAAGGGATAGAAGAGAAGAATAGGAATCAACATATCAAACAGATCAGTGATTTGTTTAGTACAGTATTTCATGCTTGGCTGCACTGTTATTGAATCCTTAATCTTGCCAGAACATTAGAGGCCTTGTGGTGCATCTGGAATTATACTTTCAGAAAGAAGCAAGAAAAACTGTCCTAGAGTAAGTTTTTAAACTTTCAATTAGACCTAAATAACACCGATTATTATGATTGATACTGACTACATTGAAGATCTAAATGCTGATAACAGCAGCATCTGTCTTTGTACTGCATTATGCTGGAAGATGACTTCTTCCCGACCTCCAAAACATTACTGTTTCAAGCCCTGAGCTATGCAGCTCCATCTGAACTGTGCAGCTCCATCTGAACTGTGCACACGTTTATTCACAGCTCCATGAAGCAAGCCCATTTGCAGGCCATTTCTCTAGCAAATTCTTTCACTCTGCCACCTGCTTGCCCTGTTAGCGGTACAGCAAGGATCCTGCCTTTGCAGAGAGGCACTGGGTGGCCCTAGAGAGGTGTGGGCTTAAGATCTACACTGCTTTCAGCATCCTAAATTCCACCTCCTTCCTTTCCCTGTGAGTGCAAAGCTCCACACATAACCAAACTGCCTCAACAGTAATGATTGATACTGGTCTGACATCTTATTTCAGTTTAAAATAAATAAATAAATCCGCTTTTCCTTTCCATTTTCCCCACAGAAACATTCCATTTAGAAAACAAACACAAATCAGGCTTATGAGACAAATCTCAGTATTTTCCAGGCTGGAATTCATAGGTGGAAAAAAGGAAGGAGAGAGGTGGAAGCTGCATTTCCCAGCCTGCCCTGCTCCTTATCACAACTGTTTCACAAAATGCCTTTTCTGCTGATGTGAAAATTAGGCAGTGCTATCCAGCTGGGAGCAAAAGGGAAGAGAAGACTCAAAACAGGCTAATAATCAAGAGCTGTAAATTATTGCCACTCAAGGCACTGAAGTCTTAGTATTATGACATGGGCATTAGCCCAGGGAAGCGCAAAGGAAATCCAGCAAGTAGGCAACACCTCTTTCCCACAGTCTGTGAATATCAAGCATGTGCTGGCAGGGGTGCTGAGCCTCACTCACCCAAGCTGAATAAGCTGGAGCACTTGTACTGCCTCAGTGCAGCAGAAGCAACCCACAGAAGAGCTGTTTTAACAACCAGTCCCTCCTATAAGCCATGCTAAAGCATGTCATGATTTACCCTCATTACAATGAATGCTTTTTCAAATGTTTTTCTTTCAGATATGTATTTTTCATTGCATGCTTGAACATGCAAGTCATGTCCAATTTCAGTTTGCAAAAAGAGGTGAAAAACATTGACAACAGACAAAATAGCAGTTATAAGCAGTCTTCCACCAAAAATACTCAGAATCTCAAGCTATGAAGACACCAGTGGCTGTATCAAAGCTAGCAGTGGGGTTTGCAATAAGAAGGACCTCAATATACTTCATTTTCAGGCTGCCACCAGACACACCATTTTTAATGGCTTGCTTATTCAAAAAGCAGAATAAGATGACAAACACAAAATTCACTTTCATTTGGGATCTATATGAGTACTTGAACTTCAGGCCTTAGGGCTAAAGAGCAAACGCCTTATAATTCATTATGCCACTCATCCAGCTAGTCTCACAAATACAACAGACACGTCATTCCAGCTCCTAGTGCTATTATTTGTTTTAGGTACACTGATCCTGAGAGTGTTCCCCTTGTGATGTTGAAGGTTGTATCCACAGTGCTTCAGAAGAATGTGAAGTCTGATATTAAGGACATATTAAACATTCTGAATCTGGTCTTGAACTGGTGTAAATTAGCACAGCTCCATGGAAACAAATGAAAAACTCTCTATGCCAGCTAAGAATTCAACCCACAATCTTCATGCAGACTAAATAATTTTTCTGCTAAAATGAGCACTGAAAGCTCGGATTTGCCCTGGCTATTTCCAAGCAATGCAGACTTTCTCCTGACAGACTATGACAGGAACTCAAAGACAGCTTTTTACTGAATTTTTTGTATCAACAGAAGTCTCATCAGATCTAAAGGCAGAGAAATGTCTTTCAATAAACCCAAAAATCATTAATATTTGTTTGAGCATTATCTTTATTTATCTAAATCTTATTAGAGCTCTTCAAATCCTGTGCTACTCATTCAATCCCAGAAGATCCCCTTTCTTTCTTCTTCCAACCCCAGTGCCGTTCTTCCTCAGTTCTGGTTTCTAATCAAAGAACAATGACCATTTTTTCCACAAATCCTATCTCAATACATAGTTCGCTCCTCAGTTGTCTTGAGGATATGGAAAGGTTATTTGTCAGACCTAAAATAACTCTTTTGGTGGATTTCAGTGCAAATAAAATGAAGCTTACTGTCTTCTTTATAGACGTGGAAATTTCAAAACCCTTATGGGATGCAAAGTACATCCATGTGAACAGAATGCTATCCCAGTTTCCCAAGAACTCATACCGTAATTAAACTGGCTATTGAGCTTCTCACAGTTGATAACATTGAAGCGATAGGGAACTGCTGATTTCATGCCACGGACTTGAAAGTAGAACCACTGGTGATGCTGGCTGGTGTTCACATCTGCATTCATAATTAAATCATACTCAAACCTGTTAATGAAGACAAAGAAATGGTGTCCATGAACATCCTACCAATCCACTACTGAATCTGCTGAATGCAACCAAACGTTAACTCTGTCAAAGAGCTCCATCGAACCAGTGGCATCCAAACACACCTTCAAATATTCACAACATTTTAGTCATGTAAAACTTCACGAGCTCTGCTTTCTCACTCCTGATTCTTTCAGGACATCTAAATATTGGCAGGTATCGTAAGCTCTGCATCATAAAACTTGCTGCCCTGGCTGGTGCTTTCAGAACCCAGAAGAACCCCAGCACGTCATGTAGTGAACAGAGTAGAAAGCCTGGCTGGGACACAGCCACTGCAGGAATACTTACTCACGCACTTGGATGGCTTTGCGAAGGTTACCCGATTCAAACTTGGAGAAGAATGTCAGACAGCTTGGAGCACCTGGGCTTGAGTGACTGCAGTAATTCAAAGCAAAGATACCAAATAAGCAGGTTGCTTCAAAGACAAGTCCACCCCAGCACCTTTTGTATATTAATACAGCTTTTTATAAGCTCCTCACAAGCAAGACCCTGAGAAGCAGCAAGAGATTAGCAAATCCACAATCTTTCTTCCAGCATCCTTCTTGACTCTTGCTTAATGATTCTAAATTTCATCTTCTTTTTCTTTCCCAGCAATCACTTTTGTCCCAATTCTTATTGCTCTTCATTCTAGTTACTTTCATCCCTGACTTATTCCCACCAGTTCATTAATTACACAAGCCAGCTCTATACAAGCTTTCCATTGTCTGTGATTAGACATAGTACAGGGCAGATGAGAAGGCCACAAATCAGACAAAACTGCAGTCAGTTTCAAAGCAAATCATTTCCCCAGGGCCATGTGCCAGTACTCTACTCCTGCAGTAAACATTTCCTGTTGGGCCTTGCCTCCTACATCACTTCTTGCATATCTTTATCTGAGGTTAACCAAGTAAAACTGAGCTCACTAGCAGCACTGACAGCGCCACTAGTTACAATTCCCTGTGTTTAGTTCACTCACCTGGGCTCATCTAAATCAAAAACAGTTCTTCCAATCAAATCACAAGGCTGGATTAAGCGACGAATATCATCAAGAACTTTGTCCCTAACAAAAATAAAAAGGAGAAAAAAAAAAAACCAACAAATTGTCACGACACTGTGAGAAGCCTCAGTAAAGGTAACCTAGAAGAAATGTGAAAAGGCTTAAAAAATTCTTCTGAAGGACTGGTAAGAAGAGTTCAGATAATTTCACATAAACTTCACCTGTGTTTACCTATTTACTTAACCATGAGAAAACTCATACTATATTTCCATTACTACAAGTTGCCTTTTGGATGAAACAACTTATTCTACACAGTTTTTACTCTTTGCAATATTCAATCTAGTCTGTTTTATCCCTGGTTTCTTTCCAGTCAATTTCAATCCTCCAACTGGCCAGTCTTGCCCCTATAGGAAAATATCTGTCGTAACTTTCAGACCCACTCATCTGTCTCCCAATCTTCCCACTCCAAATCAGTCTAAATTCTACTCATTATTAAACTGAGGTTCTCTGATCCCAAAAGAAGATCAGATGTGGAATGCCAGATTTACTTCCTGACCTTTGCAGCAATCACGTTATGCCCTGAAGCATAATATGATTATTCCCATTTTAGCTGTACAGTTACACATTATTACAATCACAAAAGCAAAGCTCTTAGAGCAACAGTGCAAGAAGATGGGATCATGAATTTGCCTCTAAACAAGACTTTTAGCTTTTGTATTTGCTACAGAAAGAACTCCCTCTAGATGTCAGAAAATAGTGCTTCTTCACAAACTCCATTTGGTTAGTGTTCATCATCTTTAAAGTTTAGCTCAGAGTCCTGTACATTCAATCTCTTTGTTGTTTGGTTATAAACTCCTATGTCACTAAAACAAAATGCAAACTCATTGCACACAGTCACAGATGGAACAGAAACAACAGTGGTTACAAAGAGAATTTCCTCTCCCAAATACAGCTTTTCCTTCCACTGTGCACCTGAAATGACAAGAGAACAGAAACCTCTAGCAATGCACCAAAGGGAAGACTCATTTTCATTCTTTTCATCGCGTTGCATGCCATAACTCTGGGTCTCGGTCTATCTACTTTAAAGAAAAGGCACTCACAGATGTTTCTCAGTGCTCTGACCAGATTTGGGCCTCATTGCATACATAGCTACACTGATACCGATATATTTATCAATAGCTAGGTTAATTAATACCAGTTTAGAATATGAGATAGGTGAGTGTTCATGGACTCACAGAAGCCATAAAAATCTCCCTCTAGCATGGCCTCTGCATGGGCAAATTCACCATTCCTCCACTGACACACAGGACGTCAATATCAGAAACAGGCCTGATGGTTTCTAATCCTGTTCCCAATCCAATCAGATGTAAAACCTAAATAAAAATATCCTGATGCGCAGCCTATCTTCCTGTGGCAAACAGTCCAACATTTGTTCTATGACTTCCTAGGCAACTCAGAGATGTGACAGTCAAAACCTAATCACATTAAAGCAGTCACCTTTGAACTCCATATTGCCGATCCAGCATGGGCGTGCCATAAACAGGAGGCTGGTGGCCCCAGAAATCAGGGAATGCCAAGTCTCTGTAGGCTGGTATGGACTTGGTACATTTGGCCCTGGCTATGTAGAAGTGAGGGCTGTGGAATGGAATATTCCCTTGGTGTTCCTCCAGAAGGTCTGTCATTATTTCTGCGGTCTCTGATCTGACTCCAGAAGTAGGATCAATTGAAGCCTCACACTCAGGGTTAAATATTTTTTTGTACCAAGCAGCTTCTTTGGGGAGGGGACATGGAGAAAATGTATGACTCTTGGCTGGCTCTTCTTCATAGGAATTTGCATTTTGGACTGTTTCAGCAATCTCTCTCTTTTCACTGAGCAGACTCCTTGAGCATTTCTCCTTCTTTATTGAACTCTGCAGTGAAGCTTTGAAATCCTTCTCCCGTGGATCTGATTCTGCCTCTGTGTCACTTTGGGTCCTCCATCTATGGTTTGGATCTTTCACAGAATTACCACTTGGAATGAAATGAGATGAAGTGGAGGGAAGATTCTCAGCCCTGTCTTCTGACTTCTTCTCTTCTTCGGACTCTGAATCAAACTCCTTTAAATTTAAAAAGCAGAAGAAATTAAAAGAAACTTAAGGACACAACATGCCTCCCTCCAGAGAAAACCTTGCAAGAAATAAAGAGAAAATATTTATAGATCTTCCAAAATAATAAAATAATTTATCCAATAAGACAGCCAAAGTAGAACTACCTACCAGAATTCCTTTATCCACAAAGTTGTTTCAATGGTAGTCCTCCAAAAATAAAAAAGATCAGATTGAGTAATATCTGATCAAAACCCACTGTTATCATAAATTTGATAAATAAATATCATATCATTAAACATCATAAATTTGATAAAGATAATTCACAAGGCTTTTTTTTTTTTTTTTTTTTAATTTGATGTTACAGCAGATGAAAGGAGATCAATCTATCATTATAAACTCCACCCCTGTTTTCATGCAAAAGTATATTTTAATCCCATTTAATTACTTATGGACACAATAAACCTGACAGCATTGTACATATAGGAGATACATTCATCCAATGGTCTTTTTTCCATGTTCATATTTGAGCCTCAGCTTTCAGCTTTCCTAAATTCACTCTGAGACTTGTAATGAGTGCCATACTCCTCATTTTCTTGCCCCAAATTGCAACAGAGCAATTTGAATGGTGCATTTCAGTGGCAGTGCAATCTTCTCCATCACTTCTTTCAAACCACTAGTTGACAGTATTTATTTTCAACATCTCATTCCAATCTTGATATTGATGTTGAAATTGCCAGCAAGGATACAAATTATTATCTGACAGATTTCTCATGGGGCAATTGATTCAGTAGCACTTAGTTAATCCATAGCCAGCCAAATGTGCATCAAACATCATCGTTCTCTTTCTATTATTCTTGATTCAGGCCAATAGACTACAGCAAAAGGTCTTAATCTTTGTTTTTCCAGCCCTATAAGACACCTGGGTTTGCTTTCGCAATGGGCTTGCCTGGTTATCTGCTGTCAGTATTTCTTTTCAAGTAATTCTTAACTTCATGAATACTTATATTATATACTATATAATAAGTATATTATATATACTTATAAATAAAGGAAGTCATGCCATGACTGTACCTGAAAATTACGGGAAAGTTCTGGACACATAGCTTCATATTGCCCAAGCTCTTCCTCTGGCCGGTCAAGCCCTGGCCTTGACCTCAATTTGTTTACATCTGTCTCCAAATCATAATCCTACAAAAAGAGAGATAAAAAAAAAATATGTGCATATTTAACATGACCCATATTCACTTCTACATGACTGTAAAAGTAATAATCTGCATAACATTCTTTGTTTCCATTACCACACTGAATCCTACAACTGCTCCTCCCAAACTCATGTGGGCTGTAAACTCAATTAACATCATGGAAAATGGAGGCACAAAAAGAGAGACTAGACTGTGAAAAAGGGAAATTTGGAGTTTTGCTATCTAGGAACATACCTGGAAAAACTGTGAAAAAGCACAGTTAAAAAAGCATCTAGACCCACTTACTTATACTTGAACATATTTAATAAGCATGTCAGCTTGAGAGGATCCATAATAAGGAACATCAACAGCTACTGGTTGTTTCAGGGTACATCAACAATTTCCCTTATGTTGTGCAAACCAATAGTTATATGCTCTCCAGACACAGCTGGTAATATTTTGATTCAAAGAAACAATATCATTTTTAAAAAGTGTATTTACCAAGAAAATCCCAATAATACACGAAAGAAAAATGGCCTCGCAAGCTACTGGCAAAATTGGAAAGCTTGACAGTTCTACCTTTGATTTAGTCAACCAAATGACATCTCTAATTAAACAGAATGGCCCAACTCAGCATCAGAGTTTGCAGGAATCAATTGCTCATATTTTACATTTCTCCCTCAACGTTGTTGATACACAGCTTTAAAACTTGCCCAATCAATATTCTGCACTTTACCCCTAACAAAAAAAAACAAACACAACAAAACAACAACAAAAAAAAGCCAGCAACTTTTAGATAGTTATCACTGAAGTAGGGATAAGAATTATATCTGAATCTTTCATGTTTAAAAGCTGAACCATGCATCTATGTGCAATGCTCTGTATCAGATCTCAGAACCAAAATGAAGTTTTGCTTCAGAAGTTATCTCATTGAGAAAGGTACACTGAAAGTTCATTACTTATTCCCTGCTTCATCATGGGAGATATACAACCAACATACAAAACAGATAGTAGTTAGAACTCATATTCAGAGCAAACTCTTAGGCAAAAAAGACCAAAGAAATGCTCACTTCTGCTTGGTAAATACATATGAATAATGAAATGGAACAGAAGCACATGGGATGTTTCTGAATGAATAACTAATTAAAGAAGGAGATAAATTCTCAGGGAGCCTTATTCCTAATGAGCATCTTGATGAGCCCTAAAATACAGACAAAACATACAGATAGAGCCAAGTTAGGATGCTGAGCTACTGATAGGGTTTTCATTCTTGTTTTGTTAGTTTTTATACTTCCTTTTTTTCATCGTGTGACAAATCAAATTAATACTTGGAGAAAAACAGGCAACAAATGAAACAGCCCTTCCATAGAGGTCTCAATCATACCTAAGTAGTCTATGTTTGCAACTTTGTTTCTTCCCAAACCAAAACCCTTTCCCTGGACCATAATACTTCACACTTGCGTATAAGCTTGTACGTGTCTTCAGAACAGAAGTTTGCACACTCAGCTCATGGCTAGTCTTCTTTCATTTGGTTTGCCAATTAGATCATGGCAGAGAGAGTGTGCAAAGGGAGAAAACAGAGGTATTGAATATTACATCTTATTACTTGTGTGCAGCAGCAGATGATGGACGTATCTAGGTTCAAATGCCTCACCTATAGCTTAAATGAATTAATCTTTCTCTTGCAATAGGTGCATAGCCCAACTGTGCACTGATATGGGAAGAAAAGGAGGGTTAGACTTGCCTAGGTGATAAGCCTGGTAATTAATAGGACAAATGCAGGGGACTCTCCACTGAAAGACAGTCCTTTCTCTTTTTCCATCTTTCAATTATCATTGTATTATTTTATTATTCATATAGCATACCCATGTGGAGCACATACATCTACATTCTCTGTTTAGATGATTTATCAGGATGTCAAAATGGACAACAGTTTATTCTCCAGTGTATGAATGATAAATAAACTGTCATTTACATACTTACTTCCTCTTTACCCTCCACATCATCTTTATTCAGGTCTTTCTCCATGTCTTCCTCACTATCACTTTCATTATCATCTGCAGAAGAAAGATACAGGCAAATGCATTCAATCTAATATCCCTCTCAGGCCCTCCACAGCAATACGTGCCATCTCATGTGAGGCACACATGCCTTCCAACCAACACAATCCTGATTAAAGCAGATTCCATTTCTTAATCTGGTATAAATGCATTTGGCACTAATTCTCACAGTTTTTAAAGCTCTGTTCGCTTGGAATCAAGCACTGCCTTTCAAAACCATGAGAAATATCACCATGATATGGATCCAACTCTTATTACAAAGCCACAGAGATTTTCTGCTTGGCTGCAATGACATTACAGGATGCTCTTAATCTATATTATCTAGATTAGGGTATTTTACTGCTATCATCATTACGGTATCTGAGTATCTTCCATGTGCAACTGAAAGCAACAGAAAAAATGCTTGTGCATATCACAGAGTTTACTGTTTCTTTGTTTCTGTGGAGGGGTTGTTCTGCCTGTGCTCCAGTTCTTACTTCCAGCAGGTGCCGAGATATATCATTTACTCAAGTTATTTGCCTGCTATCTGCTTTTATTTTAGAAAGGAGAAAAGATAATACATCCCAAAATTATTTACTGAGAAAACCAGAAGGCAGTGCTATCCCCAGAGCCATGCACAGGCAGTTGCCTCCATCTCTCTTGCTGTCATGGAACTGTGGCACTCCCAGCCTCTGCCACGCTCATTCTGTTCCATTACTTTTTGAATCACAGATGGATTTATTTACTTATACTATTTCAACCATTTATTTTAATCTTTTCTCATTTATTCTCCAAACAGAACCTCCAAGTGTCAAGAAGATGTGGGGGTGGTTCTATCCCTAATGAGTATCACTGTAATCCAGGCTAATTTTAACTACAAACCTCAGGATAAGGCAGATAAAACTCCTTTCCCCAGACACTACACTTAATTCTCACATCACGCTCCATTTCCTCCTACCAAACTCACCCTTCAGCAATTTACCTTCAGATCCCATACATGGACGTTCAGTCTTGACGTTCCCAGGAAGAGGGAAGGAATAGCAACTTCTCACTGTCACCAGAGGCAGAGGCTCCTTGGGGTAGCACTTCCGTAGAATCTGAGTCACAGTGGTTACAATTGGATCCAGATTCTTGCAAGATAAACAGTCCTAAGAACAAAAGAACAACAGTATTAAGAGAGCCGGTGCCTCTTACAATTGCCCAGCCTACTGCATGTGATCTCCTAGAAATGTTCTTCTGATTGGAACATCAAACCATTACTATCACATAGGGCTCTTTCCCCCATTTACAAAAAAAGTTAAAAAAAATAACAAATAAATAAAAAAAAAATAAGTTCTGGAGTCTATTTCCTACAGAAATAATGGTTCCCAGGGGATTTCTACTCTCATTTAAAAGACCCTCTCTGTTCTTCAACATTTGAGTCAGAGCATGCTGCATCCATTAGAGTATAAACAGTAGCACTGAAGAGATAAATCCCTTTATACAGATATGAAGTCTTGCAAAGATCCTAAATTTTGAATGTCAATTCACAACAAAATCTATATTTCCATATCTTTATTATTGCTGTCTCCAGAACTACGTCAGAACTAACACAGGTAAACCAGGACAGCTGCACCATCTTATCACTGTTCTCAGTACACTCTCTGAATGAGAACACTTGCTGTTCTCTCTTCTATATGGTTAAACACTGGACCAAATAGCCTGAAAGAACACCACGTATCACCTAGTCACAAAATACTGAATTCCTTGAGAATCTTAAATCTACTCCTACAATCCAATGTAGAAATCAGAAACATAAGGAGCTATGAGTCTCCAGATAGACTTGAAAGTTTTGGAATATTTTTTTTTATCTGTATTTATTACTTCACTATAGACAAGTGACTACTTGGTCTCCATTTTATGCCTTTCCTTACTGCTTATGAACCAGGATCATACATGAGTTTCCTACCTGGACTCCTTATTTTTACTGTAACAAGAACCTACCAGAGGGGCACACGTGCACCTTTAATGTAACAGTCAGGCAGTTCAGATAACTTATTAATGCTGTTGCCCAAAGGCACATTGCCTAAACACACACAACGTTCACAAAACCAAACCACCTTATTTTCCAAAATCTTCACATTTCCCCAAATACCATGTATATATTGTATCCATGCCACAGCCTTCACCAGGCTGACTGATCTATGCAGCATCCTTCTTGAGGTTACAAGTTGTACCACGCTTACCAGCAAGCTGATATATTCAGTGATTTGGGACTAAGGCTTAGCCCATCAGAACAGGAATGCAATTCAAGCAGCACAAATGTGCTGTATGTCTGAAGAGGGATATTAAAATAAGTTCTAATATCATCTAAAAACTTTGGTCTCACTTCAGTACAGATAAAATGGTGCTCAGTGCAACTGTCTCACAGTCCATAGTCAGGACTCTGGCTGGACAAGAATTCAGCAGATGCAGTAAGAGGTCAGAAGAACATAAAGTCCTTTTTAATAAGCAAGAACAGAAAAATGGCTGGGTTGATTTTTTTTTTTTCTTTATTTTTTTGTTGTTGCTGTACAGGATTTTAGTCTGTTTTCTCATGTATGATTGAACAGCATTATAAGATTCAGTGGGATTAACTAGGATTCCTGTAGGGAGACTAGAAAAATCATCTAAAGCTGACATGCTTACAGGACTCGCTACAAGAATCTTAATATGTATTTCTGGATCTCTGGCTGCTACAAACAAGGGTGAGAAAAAACAATTTTGAAAGCATCTCCAAGGAAATTCTAAAGCAGTTAGAGCAAAAGCCAAGGAAATTGATTTCTATTTCAAGTTCACCCGTTCATATGGTATTTGGGTGCCTTAAGTTCACTTGTTATTGAAGAAAAGATAAAGGAAAGTTTGCATGTGGGGACAGAACAGCCTTGGCTATGATTTACTATCCTATAGAGTTTACATGCTATCATTTACTAAGGAAAACTGTTCTGTTTTTACTAGAACACAGTGAGTGCTAGGCTACAGCCATCTTAATTCATTTCAACATGAATTGAGCTAGTCAAGAGCAGGGCATTTTCATACTGACCATTTCCACAAGAGGAATTACTCAAGAACATTGCTTGAAAGTAGTGTTTTTCTTTACAGAAAATTAACTTAGAGATGTTAACAAAGCTTCAGATAGAAAATTGAATATTTTGGACTACTTTCATTACTGTTCATAAATTGCTTTGAGGTTCCGACATAGCATGGTTTACGGGTGACTGAAAAATGGTGCATTACTGTACAAGAAAGCTTTTTTTTTTTTTACTGGTACCTGAGACATAGACAGGAGATTGCTTTGTTTGCATGTGAACTATCCTATTTATTTTGTAGTGAATGAGGGAGCAGAATGATTCCTTAGCCCAGATACCCCATGAACAGCTAGCCTGAATTCAGGGGATCCGCTTTGAGTTCCTGTAGTTAAGCTTTTCTCCTTAGAATCTGTAGTAGTCTTACCAAGACATTATAGAAAGGCTTAGATATTACATCAACAGATAATTACACTAATAGAAAACATAGAGGAGAATATAGACTAACATTAACTTAGAACAGACTCTATATACCAGATGAGCTTAAGAAATCACATGGGCAGATGATACAATAGCAAAAGAATGGTCTATACTATGGTCTTTCCTAAAGCAGACACAAAGCAGTCTTCTTGTCTCAGAGTAGGCAGCTGTCAGTCACTGCATGCACAAAGCCAGACAGTTGCTGATGTGAAGAAACTATTTAACTGCCACTGCAATCTAAGCAAGGCTTGGAAGAAGAAATGGAAGTAGGAAGTGTTTCATTTTCACAAATGATTTTATTATCTAAAATTATTTTTCATTCCAGGTAGGAGTGGAACTCAATTTTTTTCTCCAAGCTCTCCACAAACCAAGTTGCACCTTGTCCCAGTCAGTGTAAGGAAATAGTCTTAGAACAACAGGCTCTTTCTGAAAAGTCATAAGCTTAAAGTCTGTAAAGCTACAAGCTCAGGTATTCTGGATACCCATGTAAGCCCAGTCACTTCAGCTGTCTGACAGTCCATACCGTGAGCAGTTGGTGAGGGGTTCAGTTGAAAACCTGCCCTGTGAATGGGGGCTTCACTGGGGTTTGTCAAATCCATCCCAGCAGAGCTCTTTTGACTTCAACAGAAAAAGGGGGAAAAAGAGTCTCAGCAGAACTTTTCTAGCCAGGCTGTGACACCTTTAAAATCACATTAGTTGGCCAATTTGCTCAAAACTAAACACCACAGCCAGCACATTCCTAAAAGCATTACAAAGTTGTCTGCATAAAGAACCACTGCTTTCCCAATCGGGAACTGCCTTGCTCTCTTCCCCTCCGAAGCCTACATTTCTTCTTAGAAGGATGAACTTCCCATTTTCTCTCTACTATCTCCTTCTATTTCATCATCTATGAAGATGTTGATGAACTTCCAGTGGCAGCAGTAGTCTCCACATTCGGTCAGATCCGAGAAGAGCGAGATCTTACAGGGCTGCCAGACACCTACTGCTCCCCATCTTGAGGAGAGACTGACTACAACAAAGAAGAAATGAGCAAATGTGGAGCTTTGAGCCTATTAACTCTGGTAATTCCCCTTTCAAAATCAACCTAAGTATAGCATAGAGCAGAAGAGAATAAACTAGAGGCCCCTGAAGCTGTCATTTCCGCTCCACTTCTAACCTTTGGACAGATTAGCCTTCTCAGTGCTCACTGCATACTTAGTGTGTCATTTCCTGTTTATTCACCCAAGGTGACCCCAGGTTTGCACTTTTCATAGTGTTGCTCCTAGGCTGAGCTATCAGGAGATGTTAGCTCAGAAAAAAACATGGGCTGTAGAAGGCACTTGAGAGAGAATAAGTTGACATCTACCCCCAAGCAGCTGTTACCACACTCCCTAGTCAATTTTCTGCATATCAGGGTGTTGGCAATAAAGAGCTGATACTCCCTGAAAGCTCTGCTAGCTGTGGCCACCTCATCCCATCTGAAGGGAAGGCATGGGGGGGAGGAGGGAAAAAACAAAACCAAACTTCTGTCATTCTATCTCCTACTGCTGGTTAGAAATATCTTTGTAACAAGAGAATCATTCATGATAGCAACAGAAACAGCGAAGAAGCAGATATACTGCCTTACAGTCCAGTGTATTTGATAGAGGAAAAGCAGATAGATGCTCATCCTGTATAGGATGGTTCTGGAATCGGTTAATGCATCAACCATTGAGAATTACAGTAGAAATATCCCTTGTGGAATTGCACATGTCAAGAACTGAAGGCTTCTCAGTATTTCAGTATTTCTCCAGTATTCTCTAGTGCTTCTCTAAAGGAAGCATGCTGGCAAGAGACAGAGAGGGGTACATTACTGTTCTATACGAGCCCTTTCTACATCTTACAGGGTTCCCATCTTTTTTTTTACAAAATTACATTAACTTTTCACAAGGTTAAAATTGGGCCTACTGAAAAGCAACTAATTGATGTTTGTCTTAACAAAAGCTTGGCTAAATCAACACTTTTTGGTAGAAAACTGATTTAGTGGAATTATCCATCTGATAGAAACCTAGGATACCTGAAAGAAAACATGTCATGAAACACCTTGACTCTTCTGTGGAAACTCTACACTGCACTTTGGGAGAGAACGTCCAAGCAGAGAGCGGGATATGATGAGAAGAAAAAAAAAAAAAAAAAAAAAAAAAAACCATTAAAAATCCTGCTACAACTCCTATAAGGAACAGTGGGGATTAATATTAGTTTTAAATGGGAACATTTTCATCAGACTGAAAATTGTCAATAATTTTTATTTTGACATTATCATTTTCCACTCACGACAGAACTTCTTGCAGAATGCAACATCTAGATTTCAAGACACTTTTACACTGAGAGATAAGATGCAGTGCTAACTACCAAACCATTTCACTAAAGCACGAAGCACCATTTACCTGCACGCTTGTGAAGAGAATCTCCATACCTCGAGAACCAAGGAAAGTCTCCCTGCCCAGCTGGATGTTGGTGATGTGCTTTAGGCAGAGCAGGAGACCTCTACGAATATAAATGTAGTTGTTGGAGACATCGTTGTGATGCCAGTCCTGATAGAGCCTCAGCAATCCACCCAGATAACCTCTGTTCACTGCTTGTCGGCTGTTAGATTCTGAAATGAAAGAGAAAAGGATGAATTAAACTCTTTCAGCTGCTCATTCTATTTGACAGCCACATGGCTATGCAGTGCTTATAAACTCAGACTTTAACACCTCTTCCTCATCTCATGGACAAAGCTAAATCTTTTGTTGCTGTTGCAGATTAAGATGCTATTTGTTAAATATGAGCTAGATTCTCAGATTTACAAAAAGAAGTCTCACATCTAAGCAGAAACAGTCGGCCAGAAGACTAAAAGAATGAAGGCTTTCTTTTGGCAAACCAATGCTGGGGTAGGCACAGAGCCCTTATCTCCTTCCAAGTGCTAATAAACCTAATCCAGATCACAGCACTGTAAGTGTCTCTGAAACTAAAGAAACTCCTGAGGAGTGAGAAAAGCCAAACAATAAGATTAGCTGACAGCAGGTCACACACTCTTCACATAGTGCATGTATTTTAGTCCTGACAGAACACCTCGCTGAGATCAACAAACACACAAACCTTGTAGCTGCACAATCCTGTCAACTGCTAACTTCTAAATACATTCCCACTTGTACCTCTATAATGAAAGCCATGAATCAAATTATTCTGAGAAATCATAGCCTGTCTCCTAACATCATGAGACAAAATAAAACCCCAAGTATATCAAAATTAACCAAATACCACCATGGACAGCATTTTGGGCTCTCTTCTGCTGCTTTCTGGTTTTGAAAAAAAATTAAAGGCAACGTTCAGATCATTTTTGAAGGATTTACAAAGCTCAAAAGATACTTTCAAAAATAAAAGCTAGTTTTATAAAAAAATATATGAAGGGAAAGATGTTGACGCTCTCTTAATCACATGGCTCTAGGATACAGGACTCAACAAAGAAGATTAGAAAACTTGGTGATAAAAAGTGACTTCCTCCATACGACCATTCTGCAGCACAGCCCTTCACCAACTGTGCTCCATGCCCTGCCCCACAGGATGAACATAAAACCATACCAGATTCCAGGCTCCCTCCCTTCAAACTAACCCTGCCTAAACACACTTTCCCAACCGGTCCTGACATTTCTGACAGTGATAACACATTAGAAGCTCGCCAACCAACCAAGGGACCAGGTAGCATATGTGAGACTGGAGCTCAACTCCTTGAATACCGATCAGAGTTTGCAGCTCACAACAGATGGCTCTTGGTATGGATTCTCCAGAGCTAGTAGGCTCCAATTCATTTCCAGTCCATTAAATAGAGTGCCAGAACCTCTCACACCTGGAACATTAATCAGCAAGGATTCACAGGGCAGGAGAAGAGAGAATAAAAAGGGGTAAAGATGCTGGATGAAGAAAATCGGGAGCAAGGAAGCCATAGAGAGAGCAGCTAGCGTACAGCTAACCTGAATCCCAGTGATGTAACAGATGAAGATTTTGGGAAGGGGAAGGAAGTTACCTGCAGTCATCTTAGTTGCTCTCTACAGTATATCAGCAAACTCTTTCCCAGAGAAAGGATTGGAAGGTAGATCTGCAGCTACCTGGCCTTGCCCTGCAGCTTGCTCTACCATTGCCATCACAGGGCAGGTGACAGTGTCCCAGCAAAAAAATCCCTCATTTTAATCCTGATTTGCATCTTCACACAACTCTGCTGATGCCTCTGCACTGTCTGCACGTCACGCTGGCATTTCATTCTTATACCTTACGCACAGCTGTGCCCAGATTATGCCCTGCATTTCTGTGCAGCCCTTTTTCCCCTTTTTAACCTTCTCATACTTTCTCTACCAATACAGCTTGTATTCTGGGGCTTCATGGTTGTCAGACTTTTAGCTTAACCTTCTCCTTTGACCTTCACTCTGTTTTTCTCTCCTTTTTTTTTTTTTCCCTTTCTTTTTTTGACTCCCTGCTAGAAAACTTTAATTGCTTGAGAATCCTTTATCAATTACTTTATTCATGATTTCCTGCTAATCCTCAACCAGCTGTCATGTTTACTAACCTGCAGGATGACTTACCCCTTAAATCAGTCAATCTTCCTTGAAGAATTACTCAGAGAACTCTGTAAAAGTCAATAAGTGTATAAAACATGACAAGAAGAGTCAGGCAGTGTAAGGTAGGGACAATTTGGATCAGGCTCAGAGCTTCCCTTAACTCTTCAGAGGCAGATGAAATTGGACTAGAAGTAAGGATTTACAGCCCCTAGCACTCACTCCTTGAAGTCCAAGCTTTCTGTGTCATTGTCAGCAGAGTGAGGGAAATACCTCACAAGAGCTGCTTGGGGAAGTTGATTAAACAGAATTCTTATCAGATGTGCTCATGAGGTTTTCATAGAAACATTAAAGTTGGAAAGGATCATCTAGTCCAACTGCCACCTTCCACCAACACAGCTCACTAAACCATGTCCCTAAGTACTACATCTACCCCCTCCTTAAAAGCCTCCAGTGATGGTGATTCTACCACTTGACTGGGAAGCCTGTTGCAATGCATCACTACTCCCTAAGGAGAGTCATGTCCTTCAAGACAGACTTCCACGTTTGGATCCCAAATCCATGGGACCAGAAGACAGCTGTCCCAATGCCTCAGTCTCATTACTGATGAAAAGCACTGAGAAAGCTGAGAAAGACAGTTTTGTTATTTGTTTCCCTCATGTGCTCTCCTGCACTTAATCTCCTTTAAGATCAGAACGGTCACTTTGGGAAGAGCAGCTGAGATAGTCAGTTCTGCAAGTAGATAGGAGAGGCAGGATTATACTTTGCCAGCACTTTCATCAAAAGCAATGAGTATTAACTGAAAGGGAAAGAAAGCTTTCATTTTCCTTCTCCCATTCCACTGATTCACTTCTGCTCTTGTGTGTTTTTTTTTTTCTCCAGTGTTTTGGTTTTTCTCTTCCAGATTTTTTCAGTTGTACAGTCAAAAAAAAAAAAAGTATCAAATAAACGAAGGAGGAAGCATGCCAATATCTCCAGAAGGCTCCCCACCTGTCTGTGTCTGCTGGTGTCTCCATCTAGGGGTGCACCTGCATGTGTATCTGCCTATACGTTGGCACAAATACAGATGGTGGAAATGAATCATACAGGTATAAGCAGAACTGCACAGATTTGTAGGCAGCAAGAACCCATCCCTCCTGGAGCGAGTATGCATGATCTGTGTTGGTAAAGCAGCAAAACATTCTATGCCTTTTGACCCTTTTTGTTATTATTTTGTTAAGTCCCTTTCCTTTTCCTTGAGTGCAGCCAATGTTTTCAGTGGAAACAGAAATTCTCCTCCTAGGTAGCTTCCAGGAGTGTCTAGACATGCATGTGGGAATACCCAACATCTTTCTTATTTCCCCCCTCATTTAGAACTTAACACCCACTTCTGGTTTCCAGGGCAGTGCTGTTGACCAATGAAAATATTCTCTGCTATAGTGACAAAATATCCAGCAGAATAATCTGTTCAGTTAGTTAGGAGAATGTGACACGGATGCACAGCCAATGTGTGTCATTATCAAATGAGAGATGCATCTGAATTAGCAAGGGACTCACATCACGAGGAAATCCACAGTTGAGAAAGAATTCTGATTTTGCAGTGGGGGTCAAAGACAGATGAAACCCAGGTTTTGAGTCTAGCAGATAAGACTTAGGACTGCTAGTGGGGCTTTGGCACAAGGGGGAGCATTTATGAGGCTCTCTCTTGTATGCCAGTCCTTTTGAAGCATTTGCCAAGAACACAGGGAGCACTGGAAAACATGCAGCATTTTTAATCACAAAACTGAATTACGGTCAACCTGAAATATGATGAGCAATGCATTGCTTACCAGGCAGAACAAAGAGACTTATCTTTCCATCTATCTACTTAAATCTCTTTGTTGATGCCACTCAGCTGATTCATTATGCCACAAGCATATATTGCTACAGTTTGGAGATAAGAACGCTCTGCTAGATTAACCCTATGGCCCCTAAGGGAACAAAAGGAAGAACAAAATCTTCAGCTTCCCTGCTCTTCTCCAGTCACTGTCTCTTAGCAATAAAAGACACAAGTGAAGTGAAAACATCTATTCTATTCTGCCATTGTGAGACCATTTTTTGCTGGAGATAAACATGAGGGTGCCCTGCAGAAACAGAATGAGTTGTCCTCAGAGAAATCTTGTCACCCATCCAGCCCTGGGATAAACCCATACATGGTAGGCTATAGAGTTCCAGCAAGAAGTCAGTATTAGACTCAACTGTTTTGGAAGGTAGAAGACTAATTCTGTGCCATAAACTTCACGGGCATCCTTGAGAACCAAAGCATTAATTTGAGCATTTAGGATAGAGGTCTAACACTTGCACAAAGTAGAGGCAGGACTTGCTAGTACATATAAGTTCCTGGTCTAGGTGCACAGACACTGTATGTTGTGAGCTTAACATCAGCACAAGAACAGCTCATTTTTTCTACTCTGAAAGTTCCAGGTTTTGGACTGTAAAGTAGTAATCATATAAACTATATCATGAGGTGGCAATTCTTCACTAATTGGCTTCTGTTGCATTGTTCATATATATAAAAGAAAGCAAGCCAAATCCTTCTGAAATTTTTGAACTAACCTCAGAAGAAAAGTGATCTTCAAAAAAGATCCCTTTTCCTCCTTTATTTTCCAGTTTCAAAGCATCTTCGGGTTGTAGCCCAATAGAAAACCAAAAATAAAGTTAAAAAAATATATATTTTCTGCTTGAAATTTCCAGGTTGATTTTTTTTTTTTTTTTTTCCTCCCTCAAAGAGGTTTGAAAGTTCAGACAAGGATGCTAGAATTTGGAAGACTTCCCAAAAATTGGCCACTGAATTTTCTGAAGCCCAATCATCACTGGAGGCACAAAGACGCTGCCAAAACACAGTAAGCAATCACTGTTAAGGATATCAGCAGAGAACAGTGCAAGTTCTTGACACTTAACTCCTTCATACCCACCCTCAGGAGCAAAACAGCAAGAAGCTGCCATGCCCCAGGAGATGAATGAACCTTCTTCTGTAAAGAACTTAGTGATTTTGCCGGGGACATCTCTATAGATGAACATCAGTCTTTGAAAGGGTATAAAAAGGAGATTGAATCATTTTTCCCCTCTTATAAAACAGCTCTTCTCAAAGAGAAGCTTTAAATCAGGATCAATACTATTTGCATCCTGAAACTCAGGAAGAAGCACAGACACAGAACTTGTTTTAGATGATTATGAAGCTATTTGCAAAATTCAACTCTGATCACATTATTTCACATTATCCCACAAATACTGATGATAGGTTTGGGGCCAGACTGATAATGGAGTCTCAATCTAGAGGTGGGAAATGAGGTCTTAAAATGATTGTGAGAAACAAGCATCTTGCAAAATACCTGACAAATCACTGATATTGTGCTGGGTTTAACCATAGGTCTACTTTGACACAAGACCAAAGACCTATAATTCAGTAGATCTGTTGCAAAGCATTATGAATTCAGGCATAGAGGGTGCAGGCCATTCAAACTGCAATGTGTGCTAGAACACTGCTCTCTGTTCCTCACAGTTAGTCGCCCCTACTTGATGCCAGCATAAAAGGAAAAGTATGACACTGATTATTTTATCCTGCCAGCCACAAGACATAATCCTTATGCTTTGATGAAAAGAAAAAAAAAAGTGGGTGAAAGGTTAAATAAAGGTTAGTTGACAGAAAATGAGGCAGAAAGAGCAGAAAGTGAGAGATGAAAGCCTGGGGGGGAATAAGGGAAGAAAAGAGGATCGAGACAACAAAAGGAGGAAGGTAAAGATACAGAAAAAGAGGGGAAAGGCCATCTGCAATAACTGCTGTTCGCACATGGAATTGTCTTGATAAAAGAGGCATGATCAGGAGGTCAGCACAACCTGTCTCTTTAAATTGCTCATTACAATTTCACTAGGCAAGCATTGCAACAAGGGCTCTGCCCATTTCCCTAACCCTTTCCTTCAATATCTGCTGAGCAAATGCCTCCGAGATCAGCTCTAGCTAATTTCCTTCAAGGCATGCAAACTGCTAATTCTGGGAAGTACAGATAGTCAGGAATAACAAATACAAGCAAAATGAGATTAAAATAACCTGCTGATAAACAAATTACTCACCAAAAAATAAATATTGGATTAAGCTCTGGTGGGATAGGGTTCCCTATAATCACATCGCCATCGTGTGGCTCAAGGTGCCACGTCCAGCAGGGATCACACCAACTTCATGCCTGTCCACGCTTCTGCATCAGGCATCTCTTTTTCTTCCTAAAACTACAGTTTGGCTTTTTTCTTTTGGATGGGTGGGTTCACCCAAAGCAACAGCTTTTAGATGTGCAGAGAAGCAGGACAAAGCCAAAGGAGGCAGGAAAAATGGCAGGTGTGCCTTGGATGGAGAAGAGACTCTGGGAAGTACGGTGTACTTTGCTCTATCCCTATTTCTCTATGATTACCTGTATCTTCACATGCTGTAACAAATATCTAGAAACTGAGGGAAGGATGGACAGAGGTAGCACCAGTGAAGACTTGACTCGTATCCAAAAGAAAACACTCCTGATGCTATGTTATACAGCACCATTACATCTATTTAATAAGCAGAATATCCAGCCTACTGTAATATGATAATGAGCTCAGCCAGTGAGAAAACGGCATGGTGAAGAGACAGAAGAGGAAGGCCTCACTACAAGCTACCTGCTGACTGTACGTGGGCATGGCAAGTGACACACAGCAACCAGGAGGGCAACACATGGGGCAGGGAAAGTACTTTGGATTGCTTAGAAAGAGATAAGAAGGCAGGAGTGAGAGTGGATAGCCAGGCGTGAAACATCTTTTCCCTATCTGTAATCTGAGCTTCTACTGATAGAAAGATATAGCACTTTGTTGGAAGTGACCTAAACATTATTCAGCACCTCCATGACTGTCACCGATATCCATTCATGCATAGGGGGACAGGATAATCAAGATCCCTCTGGTCTTGTGCTGGGTATGTGAGTATTTCTTCTTTGTTGCGGACAAAGGGTAAATTTGCAGTGCCTTTTCCTCATCCTCTCTCCACTGATGATTCTTGTTCTGAACCATTTTCTTACACATAGCATTATGCACCTGATACAGTGGGCATTTTGCATCTTCTTCTGTTAGGAAAGAGACAGAGGCCAGAGAGTTTCCAGCCAGGCATTGGCTCTGCAGGAGGACTAAGTCTTAAGCAGAGCTTAAGGAAGCCTGAGGAGATGAAGAAGGATATTTCAGAATCCATCAGGGAGACACACTGCCATCTGCCTGCTCCCTTTAAAAGTGCGGGGTTTTCTCCCATGGCTGTTTGCTGCCAGAAGCAAGAGGGACAGTTTCACCTCAATATCTTCCATGCACAACCATAACCCTTGTGCCTGCTTCGAGTTGAAGCTTTTAACAATCCAACAGCCCTGCAGGGAGATCAGCAAGAATAGATGTGCACTTGTTCTAACATTCATCGGATTTGATTTTCAGCTTTCTAAGAACTCTAAGTTCATATGCATAGATAAGTTAACTGTGATAAGCAAAGCTGTGCTGACAATCATGAAAAACAATTCAGTTCTTCTCCTGCCATGTTGACTATGGAAAAACCAGAGATATTTCTTACATTCCCTAACCCACACCTTCCAAAAGGTACAGCCTGCTAAGCTGTGTGCAGCTACACCAGAAACCTGGAGCTTCTAGTTTCTAGAGCTTCAGGACAAGACAAAAACCAAAAGACATTCTGATCACTGAGCAACAGCCTGCAGAAAGCATCAGAAAACAGAGTACAAGCTGCCCTGCAGGCTGTGGTGCTCTATTGTGCATCACAGTGAACCTCCCAAGTGACAACGTAAGGCTGCTTTGCTCTCTGTCCTTCTTAAAATACAAGAAGCATAAGAGAAAGAGCCCAGATGTCTCTAGAACCCAGATTGGCTGAGAAGAGCCACAGAAAAATTTATTCTAAGAGTAAGAATCCTTAAAACTTAGTTCACTTTGGGAAAACAGGGGGAAAAAAAAAAAAAGCAAAAAAAAAAAAGCAAAAAAAAAGCAAAAAAAAAAAGCAAAAAAAAAAAAGCAAAAAAAAAAAAGCAAAAAAAAAAAGCAAAAAAAAAAAGCAAAAAAAAAAAAGCAAAAAAAAAAAAGCAAAAAAAAAAAAAGCACCAGGGGAATTTGGAGCTGAATCCAGCCCTTCCAGATTCCCTAGAAAATCCTCGGCTCACAAAATGATTCCCCCCACACAGCACTGACTTTTACAGCATGGGTTTAGAACTCATTTTACAATTTCCTTTGGTGATTAGTTCTTCACTTCTCCATATCATCCTCATCTCTAGACCCAGAACGAGCCTTGAAATAGGAAACTAATACTTTTAACATCCTGGGCCAGCAGAATTTCACTTCCCGTTCCTGGTGCCTGCAGGAGTGCAGGAGAAAAGCTCAAGCTGCCTGATGAGCTTTCAGCTCTTGTTCCACTTTTCTAGGTTTCTCTCCGCACTCCTTTCTATTCTAAATGCTAATTTTGCTTTTTATATTGCAAGCAGCTGTGGCATAGCCCCACAACCCCCCTTATTAAGATTTAGTGCCCAAAGCAGAAGGTCTTTCCTTGTTGCAATAACGTGACCTTTAAATCTATGCAGCAAGGTTAATACTGGAGCATCGTTTCAGAATTCCTCACTGCTACTCGGAGACAAACCCATTGCAATCTGCTCATTTAAGCACTGCTTTCAGGACTACAGATTTTCACAAATGCATTATTCCTAATACTGTAAAAAGGAAAAAGGGAGGGGAAGAAAAGGATGGAGAGAGAGGACAGTACACCATTGTGATTTATTGGAGAGTAGATAGTCTGCAATAGTAGAGTGCTCTTTCTTAATCAAAGCTTTATTAAGTTCTAGTAATAAAAGGTAAGTGTTTTTGGATAGGAAAAAGGCAGGAAAGGGTAGCATGTCCATTTCAGGAACAGTCACACAACAGCGCGTGACTGAGAATCCCTGTTAACGTCTCCAGCACCCACAGCCAGCTGGTGCAGATGCCAAGCACAACCTGCCTTAAGTATGCCCCAGCAATGCATAGGCTGCAGCCCTGTCTTTTAGGTCTGCATGAAATCGCAAGGGAGAATAAGGTCATGCTTTTTGCAGTGCAGAAGTCTTCCAAGCCTTTTCCAATAACAATAGTGTTTCCAGGTCAGCTCACAATACAGGAGCATCACAGGACAGAGAAGTCAGAGCAGAGCAATGAGCATTATTCACTGCCTGGACAGCTTTCCCCAATTTTTTTCCCTGTACCAAGCACCAGGACAACCACTGTTCTCTGATTATTCAAACTAAGCATCTCACTCGGTTCCCTCAGCAACTTGATCCTGGGATCTAAAGCATCTCCCATAGATCTGCATGCCTACAGAGCCACGAGGTGCTGAAAAGCACTGCAAGACATATAAACAACTACCTCTTTTTATTAAGCAGTGCTTTTTGGGATTTAGGGGGAAGTGGATACTAAAAGAGAATGAGGTTCAACAGGATCATTCCGTCCAGCAGCACAGCACAGAAAGAAAAGTCATAATATGAAGAAAAACTTACTCGATTTCAGCAAAGCTGCCAGAGCCTCAATGGCTGCCCTGGGGAAAGAAGAAAGATGGAAAAATGTCAGTTTCTTTGATAATTTTTTTAACCTTCTTCTTCACGATCTTCTGGGTCAGGCTTTGCAGTTGGTCTAAACTGACAGCTTGAGCTGCAGTGTCTTACACCAGCAGAGAATCCAGTTTCTGCAGCTGACTCAGTTATTCTAAATGACCATTAGCCCTCTAGCTTTACCGTTACACTGATTTGTAGTGACCATTAAATGTAAAGAAACAGCCACATACCCAAAGTAATGAAGCAAGTCTTTAAACTACTGCCCTAGAACCATTTCTTTGTATCACACTCAGCATACACCCATTCCAGACATCAATGCTTCCATCTACATCAGCAGATAGATTCTGCATCGGATTGGGATGTCAGCATTTTCCAATAGATTCCACTCCCTCCTCCATTTTTCCAAAACAAACTTCCCCTCCACCCCCCTTCCCACCTGCTTAAACTGAAAATAAAGTTCATTTCCCTATAGTTACGTTTCCTACTGCAGCAGCAGGTAAAGGTTCCCCACTCAGATCAGGGCTTGTAAGAAACACGTTAATGTGATGTGAGATTTGCCCCTAGGTCCTAAAGAGTACTAGTAGAAGAGAGATAAGCAGAGACTTTTTTGTTAACCTTTACATCAATTCAATGCACAAGTAAGCAACTCAACTTGCCTGACTCAGCATAGCATCAATATAAATGGGAGCCAGAGAGATCTGCACTGAGATATACTTATTCCCCACATGGTATTAGCTCCATCCTACCAGCCACTCAGAAGGTTTCCATTTCCAGCCATGTTCTGCTGGAGCAAGAAGAGCCATGTACCAACCTGGCTTACTGCTGCAAAGTTTCAAGTGCCTACAGCTTATTGAATAAATACAGCTGCAAAACCCTTCATGCCCGCGGATTCCTTAAAATGTAATCTCTTTAGAAACCAATCCCCAAATAAAATCACATTAACTTCCATACTGAGCCAATTATCATCTGCAGCAAAAAATTACTGTTTTCTTTTTTGTCATCAAGCTGCTGTCTGTTGCGTGTTGTAGCAGTGGCTGAGACTGAGAAAGATTCAAGATCTGGTTCTTGCTGATGTTGGGTTGGTGTCTTTGTCTAAGGTCATGCTTCCATAACTAATCTGACAAAGTTCAACACCAGCATTAAAAAAAAAAAAACAAAAAAACAAGCAATCACCAACTGCACACATGCACACCATCTGCATAAAAAATACAAGATTTAGGGGGGAAAAAAAAGCAACAAAAAAACCTAAAAAATAAACAACTAAAATCCCACCCACCAGGGGAAGTACAGTCATGCTCTCATTATTTTATTTCCACCCAAACAGCAGCCATTCAGCTGGTGGGAGGAATACTGTCTCCTACCAGCCATTCTGCACACTCAGGATAGAGATGTGCTACATCCAGTGATCACTTAGCCTGTTCTTAAGTACCCAGCTTGGGACAAAGTAAATAGCTTTAACAAATTACAATTTTGTCCAGAGCTCCTCCCAAAGCTCACATGCATGTTTTAAAAGAAAACATTACGTACCTAATTTCACAGTAGTCTCTGTGGGCTTTAGGTGATGCATCAATCACACACCTGAACAGCAAAGGAGTGGAGGAAGAACACAAGTATTTCTAGATCCATACAGAAGAGGCACCTCATTTATTGTATGAATTTTCTCAACTTCCACCTACTTTTTTGAGCAACACGACAGTCCTGTAGCTGTAGCTAGCTGGATTTCTCATTTGCCATACTAGCAGCCTAGACACTGCCTTATCTCAGTCCATGCCACACATAGTGCTACAGTAAAATAAAGCGGAACCAAACTAGTGCATTTCATCTCCTAATTCACTGCAATTCAGAGATGATTTGACACAGGTGATAGACAGTGTTCTGTGTGACCTGCAGAACGTGCTCTACAGGTACTCATAAGCAGGTTCAGACCCAGTAGGCTAACCTCAATAGTAAGCATTGTTTTAGAGTACATACTGAAAGAAAGAGTAATTAAATACACAAGTGTAAACTGCCAAATGGATCGAACATGTTTAAGGGACAAAACAGACTTAAAAAGTAGAGCAAGCCAGCCTAACTCGATGTATTTCTTGGATAACTGATTTTTCTAGACAAGTGAAACACAGTAGATCTCATTTCTCTGTTGTTCAATAAAGCTTTCGATACGGTGCCACACTGGAAATTAGTGAACTGGGAGAAGATGAGGATTAGTACAAGAACTGCAAAGGTGAGAGAGGAACTGGTTGAAGAGGCACTGGCAGGAGATGTACAGCAAGAGAAATTATTGGACTGGAGGGAGGTCACACGTGGAAGTTCTCAAGGATGCATTTTGAGGCTGATCTTATTTTATACTTTCATTAATAACCTCAACACAAAAAGTCAGAGTAAACCAACAACATCTGCTGATGGTGTGAAGTCAGGAGCTATTACCAACAGTCAGGAGTTTGGATTATCTTTCAGGAGTAACAGGATGTTTTTGAGTTCTGAAGCAATAGAGATGGGATGAAGTGTAATGGTCAAAGTGCGAAGTTATGCATTTAGGGCTTAATAAGTGTTAATTATGAGCTGGGGCTCCTAATTGGGAAGCACCCTGGATAGATGAGCCCATTAGAAGATTAGGACAAGTGTGACCCAACAGGGTGAAAAGGACAGATCGGGTCTCAGACTGTCACTGCCAATGGCAAAAGGAGAGCATGAAGGTTTTAACTTCAGGTTTCACTCAAACAGCTGTGTGCAGTGCTTGAAAGGAACCACACAGAAAAGGGCTAAGAAAACAGAGTAGCAGAGAAGTTTCAGGAGCCTTAAAGATTGCAGTTTGGTTACTTTAGCAAAATAATGGCTGAAAGGTGACCTGATTGTTCTCCAATCTCTCCCACTGGGGTGGGGAGAAGTAAACACTGCATAAGACAGAGAGCTACTCAAACTGAAGAACAAAGCTGGCACAAGGACAAATAGATATAAAATGGCCATGAATAAGTTTCAACTGGAAATTAAAAGAAAGCTCTTAAGCACTGGAAAATGAGGATCTGAAACATCCTCTTGGCAGAAAGAGAATGAACAATGTAATGAATTTGAAAAGGGAGCCCGAATTTGCTTATAACAGGCAGTGGCAGGAGAGCTCAGGTGCCAATAAGGAAAGGCTCTGAAAAACCTGACCCAGAAAACACAGTAGTTCTATATGCCTTAATTTTAATCACGCATAAAATGGAACTGAACGATAAACAGTTTCTCCAAACACAAAGTTAACTAGCCAGGCTAGAAAAGACCAGCAACACCAGTGTAAGCAGGAAGCCCAGGTAGTCTGGATCTTACATCCAACACTGCTCTACAAGTACAAAACCAGAGTAAAGATGCAGTGCTACAACTTCCAAAAAAGCCTCTCTTACTCCAGCTGTTTGCCATCCAGAGATTTCGTAAGCTACCACTGGTGCCTATGGAAGTTTTTTTTGGTTTTTTTTGTTAAGTGAAATTTATTTCCCTTCCATGTATTTTTGAAGCTGTGCAAACTCTTCACACATACAGTATCCCAGGAAAGAAGAGCATCACACAGTGCAGCTATGAACTCTCCTTGCATATATATTTTAAGCTTGGAGTTAACACCAGCATTATAATTTACACTTCAAGTCAGTTGTCAGCTAGTAACCCCAGAATATTATCTACCTTTAGCACAGAACAAATTCAAACATACAAAACACCCTACAGGAAACAACAAGTCAGAAAAGAGAAGGTAGAATGGGCTTTCACTGAGAACAGCAGCAAGTTGATGGATGTGTCAATGGGCTTACAGCAATCCAAGGCAACTTGTGTTTGTGATACCAGCACCTCTTAACAGCATATGGTAAACCAACAGCATCTTTTCTGACATCAGAAGAGATAATGAGATGAGTGAATCTGGGGTGGGAAGACAGAAAGGAGATAAATAGCGCATAAGAGCAAGAGAGAAAAATAAAAGACGGGAACAGGAGGGAAAGTTTAAGAGCAGAAGAAAGATGTCTCTATGAGCCATATGCCAGACCTGAGGATTTGACAGCATGCCCAGTTCAGAACTCTGCGTTTGTCTCAAGAAGCAATAAGGGATAAAACGTTTCATTAAAAACAAACTGGTGAACCTGCCCAGATGCCTTCCTCTGATTTTCTGTTCTGTGGCATTACGTTACTCAAATCCTGCACTGGGATTGACAGAGCAGGTATCTCAAAGGAGACTCATTCATATATTTCAATAAAAAGATGTATAAATAAAGTTGTGCTGTCTTAAAAGGCATAATAATAAATGCCATACTGTAATCAGAAAACATTAAAAACTGCCTGTAACAGCAGTGCAGACAGCAGCTCTGAAGAATGGAAGTCTTTTGAAGTGTTTCCAAACCAGCAGCTTGAATATCAGGGCAGGAGTGCAGCTTGCAGGCAGATAGACAATCAGCTTCCAGATCTTGTGCTTAGGAACCAGGAGCAACAACAAAGAAAAAAATGTGCTTCCCAAGCCAAAGAAGAATCGGATTAGCCAAAGTCAGGCTGTTCAGCATAGACAAAGAAAAGTCTTTTATTATTCTATTCTTCTATTCTTCTATTATTATCTGATGGGGGGGTCACCCCATCAGATCTGGGCTACTGGGACAGTGTCAGCTGGAAGTGCTGCAGACAGAGGAGACCAGGAGGCAGCATCTCTTAAGTCCTCTTCCCCACTCTGATCTTGGCTCATAAGGCTGCAGCTCTTAGCATTGCTATGGACAACTCTGTCTCTGTTTCTTGAATTGATTGCTTACTTCTGTTCTACACACCATTGGAGAAAACCCCCTGGAAATGAAAAATGTTGTTACAGAAGGGATGCCTGGTGAACTACATGAAAGGATTTGAAAACTCATAGGGCATGAGGAGTTTGGTGCCCATCTGTTCCTTGTTACTATGGACAGGGAACAGCTGAGATGCTAAAGACTGAACAAAGAACTGATCCAACAGGGCTTTGTAAATCAGCTCCCAAGTAATTTAACCAGCATCTTCCTTCTCCTGCGAGATTTTATCTTTATACATGCTTAAACATGAAACATCCTCTTATTATTGAACGAAAGCTAATGATTTGGTGCTTCATTAAATACCTCTTCAGACCTGATGCAATTCCTAAAGGCAATCACACCTGGATAATGAAGATGGAACATACTATCAATAGAGACATAAAAGATTCTCCCCTGCCTGGCAGCCCGCATTGCCTCAGCCTACTCTCTCATTTTGCTCTTCGTCTGGCTATTTCTCACTGCACTCACTTGTTGCTGTCATGTTCATTTTATGTCTCATGCTGTGTGGGGCATGGACCATGTTATATGTTTGTACAGCATCTAGCACAATGGGAATCTTGACTGAGGGCTCAAGGTACTACAGCTTACATGCTTAAAGTCCATAAGCTCCAGTTGCCCCTGTCTCTCGAAGGAATTAAGTGCACCTAAGAGCACATATTGCCTGGCTGCTTTTCACCCCCAGCTCTTGGGATTTGTACTTAGTTACTGGAGCATACAGTCACAGAGTAACCCAATCTAAAAAGAAAACTTCACATTTGACAACGGAGAGACATTTGGAAATAACACATAGGAACCACAGCAACAGGTGCATTATAAATCCCATCAGAAGGTAGATCTCACCAGAGACAGATGCCTCAAACAGCCATTTCCATTGTGGCCTAGAAATACAGATCTTAAATATGTAAGTACTTCCACAGTAATTTGCTTTGTTTTAAAGTTTTAAAGCCAGCAGCTTTGCAAGTTTTGAAAATTCATGGGGAAAAGCTGCCTATGCTGCCAGCATTTTCATGGCACTGCTGGTCTGCGACTGACAAAAACACACCCATCATCACGTCTGCTTTAGTTCCAGCTTGCTAGCTAGGTATTAGAACTTATGCTAAAAGCATAGCCTGCTTACAGTTTGCAATGTCCCACCCATCACCAACAGGTGGTTCAGAGATCCAGCTGCTTTGCACAGATGTGCTTTTGACGTGGTGCCAAAGAAAAGGGAACTAAAAAAAAAAAGTCACACGCTCCTTTTCTAATGATTACTTCAATTCCAGTGATCTGATTTGTTTTCCTGGAAAAGCACATACTGCCTTCGAACAAATTATGCATCTTCCATGGATGCTATTCTCTCTGATGCAATTCTTTTTTGCTGAATAGAATTTGAGAACAAACTGAGAACAAATTAAATTCATGCTGAAAAGTATTTTCTCCCCACCTTCAAAGACTTCTATGAGCATTAAATGTCAGAGTAAGGCGGTAAAAAAAAAACAAAAGCAGTAAATGAGCATGTACTAAGTCAATTAAAAAAGATCAACAGTGAAGGGAGAGATTACTCCCTACTCTTTAAGCCCAAAAGAAGTCCAGAATTGAATTTTTTCCTGTCTTACACACTTGTGTGCTCCAAATCACACACTGTGCTTATTGAGAAGTTATGGTTGTAATGCAGAAGCTCCTGCCCTGTGTGAAGTTCTCTATTCTACCCTAAGTGGCCAATGTAATGAATGTATTTCAGTTCCCAGGCTCAGCTCAAAGCCTTCACCAAAGCATCTTCCAAGCATCTCTGTCTTCCCTGGAGCCTGATATGTTACATCAATGGAAAGGTACAGCATTTCAGCCTCTTCTATTTCTGCCTCCCAGGAAGAAGAGTCACCCCAGGGCTACCCTCCAGGCATTCTTACAAGTATCCTACTCTTTCTAGTATAGAAGTACAGAATGAGAGACAGCTGTATCCTAAAAATTCATCCTATTCTTTTAGCTTCCAACTTAAATTAGCTTAAAATTAGTAATAAAGAAGAACAAAGCACAGGAAGTGCATTTAAATCCTTGCCAAATAAATACCCAGGTATCTCATGCTGCGTGGTACAGAGCTGGCATCACTTGCATAGGCAAAAGCTAAAGCTCAAAAGGCTTCCCATTCCTGTCAAGCTCCCTCTCTGGGGTCAGATGTCACCAATAGAGCTGAGGCAGGCTGTGACAGCTTGTCATTCACATCAAGGTGAAGGGGGTCATTCAGTCAACACAGGTTTCTTAAAAGATCAATCACCCAGACAATATTAAGATGACAGTGTGAGAACCCAGCTCTCCCACCTAAGGGAGGCATGCAGAGGGAACAGAGAAGGGCTTGATGCCACCCCTGATCAATTCAGGATGGGGAGGAAGATACTCAGAGGCCACACTGGATAACAGCACAGCCCTGCAGAACATCTCACACACGCACTGAAATCATGTCAGTGAGCGAGGTTAAAACTCCCTTCATCCCCAGAGAGCTGCCTTCCAACCCCGTTTCACTCACCAGTGGGAAAGAACCTGGTGGTCTGTTGGCTCAGTCCTTTATTGTCACTTCATTCATCGTTTATCGGTTCACAATAACTGACAGTTCACACTCTACAGACCAAAGGGTTGACCAAGGAAAGCCAGCTAATGTAATCTTTTAGGATTTCAGCAAAGCTTTCAATACTGTTTCCACGGTATCCTCCAGAACAAAACATCCAGCATTCATCTAGGCAAAAACAAGGCAACGGGTGAACAACTGGCTGACAGGTCAGAGGGTTATGGTAGATGAGGTTACATCAGGCTGGCAGCCTGACACCACTGGGATTCCTTAGGCATTCATTTTAGGGCTACTTCCCTTGAACGTTTTCATAAATGATTTGGAATGCAGACTTGAAAGTTTACCAATAAAGCTCATGTACAACATGAAATTGGGAGCAGCTGTTGACTCTATTGAGGGGAGAAATCTTACAGAGAAATCTTGACAAATTCAAGTGTTACCTACCCAGAAATTCCAGAGTCAAATCTCAATAGACAACCTGGAATTCTGTCATCATGAAACTAAGTTGAATCATAGATGGCTTGCCATTGGGAAGTCTCCAATAGCAAATTTTGAAAGAGAAGCTGAGGCTTGGGGATACCCCCAGAGCCTTATGATGCCATATAACAAGCCTACATTCACACAGTGTTTGTCTGCAAGCAACTGGAAGAGCTTTATGTACAGTCAGTTGCTGGCAGTAGGATACCCTAGAGCAGCTTGTAGTGTCAGCAGGCCAGGCAATAAGATATCTGACATGCCATTGCTTGTGCCCAGAGTCAGTTAAACTAATGTAAGTATCTGTACAACTTCACAGACCTGGAAAAAAAATAAAAATCACAAAATGCGAAGCTGAAGTCCTGAGAAAGTTCAGTCTTCCCTGAACATCACCAAGAAAGTTACAAGGGTAACTTCAGTGTCAGCCCTTTCTTCAAGCACTAAGACAGATTCCCCTAAATAAAACAAAGAATGTTCAGTATTGAAGATTAAAAAAAAAAAAAGTGTTTGTTATTTTTAATGTAATGGCACTGTTTCTCTATTACAAAGCTCTAGAAATAGACCCATCAGTTTACATGGCACTTCAAGCTCCCTCTCTGGTTCTGTTCAGATGAAGAACATCCATAAAGAAAAGCCAAAGGAAAACTTAAAGCTTAACATTCTTCAGAAAAAGGGCTGCCTTGTAGAGCCTCTTGAATACGCACAGGAAGCAGTTTCTGGAATCATTTCTTCCTATGCTACATAACCAGGTACAAACTGGATGTCTGTGAACTGGCAATAATGTCATATTAACCCTATAGTCTTATCCAGATCTGCCAGTTTGTGAGGGTTCAGTTGCACAGCCCACCTACAGTAAAAGACCATGCTTTGAATGCAACTGCTCACTGCAACACTGACAGAGCATAGAGTTACATCCACATTTCCAGCAGGGAACAATGGGAAAACACTGAAGCTAATTAATCCTCCTGAATGCAATGCTTTCCAATTATCTAAGTCCATGTGTTTCCCAAATGAGGAAACATTTCACTGTTACTCACACAAGTAAAGCAGTTTTTCATACATTGCTCATACATAAATCCCATAACATAGTGGCCAGAGAGCACTCTGAAAAGCTTACATACAAGTGAAATTCCAACCCAATATAGACAAGATATTCAGGAGCAGTCACCAATTTTCTCCCAGTTTCCAGCTACCCCACTTCTCACCTCCTCCAATGAGATCCTCTTGCCATATACACGCAGGTTATTTTCATCTACCCTTTCACACAGAACTTACTATGGATTGGGCACTTGTACAGTTTCATGGTTTTAAGTAATGCTGCTGAACATGAACCCACTTGGAAATATTGACTTGTGGCTGCTTATAAATCCCTTATGCGTGTACACGTGTAATGCGGAGCTTAACTGATTCCACTAAACCAGTCTCAAGTTGAGATCAACTTGCACAGACATGCTTGAGAACAAAGTAGTGTTGTCCTAGAGACTCACATCAGCTATCTTGACCTATGTTTCAAAGGCATTTCCATGTCTAAGCACGCAGCTAGCACCAAGCAGAATTTTTCGAAGCCCCTTTGTATGTTAAGATCACAACTACCTTTTATAACTGAGCAGAGTTGAGCCTGAACCCCTCCAAAAGGCTTTCCAATGAGAATACTGGATCTCCAGCTGTACCTCTGTACATCTAAATCTCTAAAAATCTGGACTCTTCCTCAGAAAACTCAGCCTTAACCAACCCAAACCTCTTAATTCAATAGAAACAGCCAGTCAATAAGAAACATTTCTAGTCTATCTTATATGTAAAATAAATGTCAATTTTGCACACTTTTTTTGGAAAACTGGACTGCAAAACACATGTAGAACACTGCTAGAAACATACAGCACTCAGATTTGCCACAGGCAAGTAAAGTAATGATGAAGACTTCAGGGAAAATAGATGTTGCAATTGCAGAGCAGGGAGAAAAGCTTATTAACTTGTCTGGGAATTTCAATAAGGGTTTAGCAGAAAGAAGGCCATCCTGCTATTTGCCTCCCTCTGTTATTCTGAGGGTTGCCTTGCTTGAAATGCAGGAAGGACAATGGGGATGCTGCTGTACTGTGTATTATGCACAGATAATACACAGATACCTCTGCAGAAAAAGTCAAGGTATAGAAACTGAACACCTTTCACTGCACTGCAGCAGCTTTCTGGACATAAGATTTCCAAGCTGTCATCAGGAGAGCCATCAAAAAAGTGATCAACTTCAGATTAAGTAGGATAGCTGTTGCAAACGAGGAAACATCCCCTGCAGAATCCATCTGTGCAAGCAGGCTGAGCCACCACCGCAAACACTCACAGCAGTGGGCACAACTACTCCAACACTGCTGTCAATGCCCTTGTCCTCACCTCAACTCTGCAGCTCAGGTAGGACAGAAGTAGGACATCTTGCTCCAATATGGGCACCCTACAGACTGCAGGTCAGAGATGAGGCTCTCTGCAGCACCTCTAAAGATATTTGCATTTCAGAGGCCTGTCACTGGGCTATGTAAGAATGCAATGGAAACAGCTTTGGTGAGGGTCTTGTCCTGAAAAAGAGTAGTACATATAGTTTAGAGGCTTCATCAAGATTCAGAGAGATAGTATTGTCAGCACATGCTGTCTCCCACATGGCACGCTGCCCAGCTGGCTGCTCTGAGTCAGATTCAACACATGGGTCACATCAAGACTTTGAGACGATGAGTAGGAAGATCATACACCCAGAGGCAGGCAATGCACAGCCTTAGATTTCATCCCCACATCTATGACCAAGGAGACTTGTCAGCAGACAGCATGCACTAGCCCCAGGTGCAGCACTGGCCACTAAATCATATGCAGCTTGCAAGCAGCAAGCATCTGACTGTGGTGGCAGAGCTGGCCAAGCACAGTGATTATTTTTTCTTTTTTTTCTTCCTGTTTCATGCATGCAACTCCTTATTAAGCAAACCAGTCACATCTTTGTGCTGGTGCTCGTTCTTCACAGCACTTAGGGGTGGGGGTCTGGGGGCAGGAATCACTAACAAGCCAAAATATAGCAAATACTGGGTAATGCCATTGGCCACAAAAAAAATCAGCAATGTCATACCAGCATTACTGCAGGGGCTTTTTGAAGTATTAATTTGCAGAAGCCTAACTGTTAGCACTTGTTTCTCCCTCTTTTCATTGGAAAACTTTCATCTGATATAATCAAGCCAGGCTCTGTTTAGGATACGAAAACAGGCCATATCAAAGCCAAGGCTGGTAGAACATCAGCTGTAAATAGAGGAACGAAGCAGCAGAGATAAATAAAAAGCACAGTAAAAAAAAAAAAAAAAAACAACCAAGCACTATTGGGACAGTTCTTCTATGTGCCACTGATTTTTCTGCACAGAACAATCTGGAAGGCAGTGAAAGTCAGAATAGTCACACGTGTAAGAGCAATTTAAAAAAAAATCAAAAGGAAAATTAAGCTTTTGGGTACACAGTGAGAGCTGTCATGCCATTGCAACATATGTCCTATAGTACACACAAAGATCAAACTATATCCATTTAACACAGAGAGAAGATAAAGTAAATGAGCCAAAGCTATGGGACAATTGTCTTTATCTCCTATAATAGCCTTGCTGTTGCTGCAGGCAGACAGTAAAAGCTCAGTCTCAAAGCCATGACCTTGCAAAGATTCACGCTTCGGGGGGAATTTCCACTCCCAACCCCAGCACTGCAGCTCTATTTGGAGTCAGTAGCCCTGTTCTTCCTCACCAGCCACGTCAGGCTTCCAGGTTCTCCCCTCTGTGTTCCAAGCCTTGTCTCTGAACACATCCCAGAGCTGCTCAGCTCTGGGTTTATTTACAGATTTTACTGGCATTGCTGCCATTCCAAGTGTTGCCCTGCAGATAAAGAGAACAGGAAGAGCCCTACCACCGTTACCAAGACAGACCTGTGCTGCTAATAGCACTGCTATTACAAAAAGAGCTTTCCTAATGAAATCTATTCCACCTGCACTCAGTAAATACTGTAGTTTTTCAACTTGCTATTTTGTTTTCTACAATCAGCATTATCTAACTGTCCAAAGAGCCTGAAAGCGTTGGAGTTCGCTCCCTCCCGCTCACTGGAAGGCAGTCAGTTGTACTGCCTGTTCTCTGTATTGCTAAAACCAGCTGCCCTGCTGCTGCTAATGCTGGGGCAGCTCCAACAGCATTATCAGGATAGGGAATCCTAGTGTAGAAAGGCTGTTGCTAAGAGCTTTGACACCACGTCATTTAACTCTGATGAGGACAGGTCTAATCGCTGTGATGTTTTTAATGCCACTGATAGTTCTAGAGACTGGTTCACACCTCACCTACCAGCACTGGTGGAGCTGGAAAAAAAAAAAAAAACAACCAACAAAGCCAGCCATAGCAGCCCTAGGAAATTCTTCAGGTTGTTTTTGTGTGGACAGCACTTGCACAGAGACAACGCTGTGCTCCATTCTTGCTATTGGAAGTCTGCACTGATACTTTCTTCCACTGTTTTCAAATCTCCCATGCCTACCTTCAGTCTGGAAGCATTTGCTGGGAGGGTCTTTCACAGCTGCCATCTACCTCTTTACAGGAGTAATATGCTTCTGGGTCCAAGAGGACAATAACTCAGGTGAAAGACAAGGAAAAGAGGATTTCTGGGCTCTCAGATGGGCTGACACACAAGTGTCTTCAGCTTTACC